TGAGCAAAATCGATGAGCAACGGGAGGACAGTGTTTGTTGTTTGCATTGTAGCAAAGTTACGGTAAAAGAGTACCTACCTCTCATTCATCTCCTGTTTTATTTTTTTCTTATAACTCAATTAATACCACATTGCATATTTCTTTCTTCTTTCCCTCCTATACTGCCAACTTGCTAAGAGCAGAAATTTTGTCATTTTCATCTTTGTATTCCCTAGTGTTAAGAACAGTGGTTGGAATATAGTAAGGTGCTATTTAATATTTATTGAATGAATGAATCAATTAATAAAATTATTTGGTTCCAGTACTGACTTTGACATCTTCATAGACCGTACATTTCCAAATAAAACAGATTATAATAGAATTTATTTCCCAGAGTTAATCAGGATAATCAGAAGAGGTGATTTATGGAAAGTGTTTATTCCATGCGTATGATAAGTGCTCAAGAAATGTCACCTAACATTATCCTCTTTTCAAAATTTCTTACTAGATTTTTATAAAAATTCCTGGGGCCAGAGACTGAGTATAGAAGGCATGTGACTGACCCTGATTTAATCCCCAGCATCACATATGGTCCCCTGAGTACTGCTGGGTGTGGCCCCAGAAACGAAAAAAGAAAAAATGAACTGAAGTTGGTGGTCTCGTTTAATTCATTGGCTTTATCAATATTTTTGCTTTTTTCTTCTGCTTCACTTGCAGATAGATGGTTGAGGTTGTAAAGCTTGTCATTCTTGGTATGAGACTATATATTTTCATAGTCATGTATGAACCGTTTACCTTGAGATTGTAAGCGCAGAGCTTTAAATTTGTTCTTCTGTGTTTTAAAAAGCAGAAAGCAAAATTCACTTAAAATAAAAATAAAACTCATTTATTTCACAACTTTTATTATCTATGATGTTCTACATGTAAAATATACTAATCTTTTACTTAGTGTGTACTCAGCTTTATTGTTTTTTGGACCAGCTGAGTATGGGTAGGACCAATAGATAATTCTGTGGGATTTTTGTTTGCTTTTTATTTTCCATGTGCTGGGTAATTGAATTTTTCAGAAGATATCTGTAAGGCTGTTGCATTCAACTAGGGTTTCTCTAAATTCTTTGTAAGTCAACTTAATAATAACTATTTGAGGTAAAGTGATGTTTACATTAAGTGTGATTATTTATGAGTTAGTGCTGTTGATTCAAATTCAAGTAGGTCATATATTTTCAGGGTATAAAAATTTCCACCTGTGTTAATGTGGTGCCTTCATTTTACGTATAACATTGGTACAGCACTTATATAAACAGAGCAACAGAATATAGCTTTATGCTTCATGTGCTTGATTGATATTTTTCATTTTATCCTTAGGGTGCAAGTCCCAGCACTCTTAAGGCGTTTTTGTGAGTGCTAGAAGGTCAGTAATTTGAATTATGGCCTGAATAAACACTGTTTGGTTCACTTGGTTTTAAAATCCCTTTATTTGCCCTGTTGTAATAAGTTACTTTAAAGTACAAGTAAATTTTCTTCAAGGTGGATCTCTAATTATGGATAATCTTTTCAGATGAAAAGTCAAACTTGTGGACTGAAATTTCAAAAATATATCATTTGTATCTTAAGCCTAAGACATGCTTTTAAATACCCTGTCTTTATTTCACTGAAATTTTGTTGTCTGAATGTGAGACATCAATATGCACGCTTAATACTGAAATGGCAAATACTCAACACAGACTTCCCTTCTGTAACCCATGACAGACATGGTTTATTAACTGTGGGATACTTTCCTACCAAGCCTTAGTGAGTCCTCATCTGCACTGCAGAGTCCTTGTAAATACTGTGCTCCAGAAAGCTACTATTGTTAGTTTGGAATTGGCACATGAGAAACCTAACTACCAATCTAAGTGATTTGGCTATGGAATAGCTGTGAGTTCCTTGAAATCTCAAATATCAGAATTTGGAAAAAATGACTTTTTTTAAAATAAAATGAACTAAAATAGTGCACTAAAATATATTTATAGACTGGTTTCATTATAAAGGCTTTGTGGAAGCCTTTAAACATTTATTAAGTGGTAATAATCAGCTACTAATCAGTACCATTTATTGACCAACGTATATTGACCACCTGCTATGTGCCTAGCACTGTTAGATGCTTCACATCATTCTCATTTAATTCTTGTAATGGTTTGCAAGGTAGATATTATTATCCCCATTTTATAGATAAAAATAAATTCCTCGGAGGGATTTTAGTTTGTTTTGGGGCCTGCCATTAGTCAGTGGCAGAAACAGGATCTAAGCACTGTTTCATTTGCCTTCGATTTCTGGTCTTTTTACCTAATTGGTCTACTTGGTGTATATGGTGGTTGGTTTTCTTTTTCTTTTTCTCTTTCTTTTTTTCTCTCTCTCTCTTTCTTTCTCTCTCTCTTTCTTTCTTTTTTTCTTTCTTTCGTCAGTGCCATATAGATATTTCCTTTATCATAAATAGAAATCTGCTGTCAAGTCTATTGATGCATTTGCTGGTCAAGGCTTGTTTCTCCCTCTTGACTTCTCAAATAATTAAACTTCTTAAAGTCATGAACATGGTCTTACAGTTTCTAATTTTTTATAATACTGAAAATTTATTATAGCAGTGATATTGTCAAAACTTCTTTGAGACATAGGTACCGAATACAGGCATAGTCAATAAATTTTGACTAGCTTATTTAACTTCAGGCTTTTAGGATTGATGCAAAAGTAGAAAAAAAAATTTCTCCCCTAAATTTAGATTCTTTTCAAAATATATCCTGTTCTATGTAGGTATAGGTAATTTTGTTGAAAGAGGGGGGAAAAATACTCATCTCTTATTATACTCACCCCAGATCAAAATTACATCAGATTTAGAAATGATATTTTGTTTCCAGCTATAAAATGGGGATAATAGTATTTGTGGCATAGGATCGTTCAGAGAATCAAATTAGTGCGCATTCGCGTTAGGATTTGCTTCTGTCCTTTTCTTATTTCCATATACCGAGTCCTCTTATTTCTCAAAATAACCTGCATCTGATCTCTTCTTTTATTTCCCTACTAACACTCTAATCCAGGGCAGCGTTGTCATTTCTTACCTGTTTGCAGCAATAGTTTGTTTACTGCTCTCACTCTTTATAGTCACGCCTCTTACCACATAAGAAGCTAGAGTGATCTTTTAAAATGTAAGCCAGATTTTGTTCTTTCTCTAATTTTAATTCTCACATGACTTTCTACTTAATATAGAATCTAAAGTTTCTACTTTAGCTTACAGATTGGATTTGGCTTTGCTTTCTTTTATAATCCCCCTCTTTTTTCCTCTCTCTTTTTTTTTTTGTGGCTATCCTGGCTTTCGTATTAAAGATCTATCCCACCTTCGCTTCATCCTGCTCTCCTCTCTCTGAACTTCTTTGACCTTAATCTTCAGTTTTTTAGCCATACTGGCTAACGTGAAGGTTTCGTTCACTGTTTGGGGTGGGATTCCCCCCAACCGCCCCATTCTTTGTATCAACCTCTGAACAAATCCTTGTGGTTTTACTTTTGAATACGTTTAGTGCATTCTCTTTTTCCTGCCTACTGAATTTTTTTTTTGGTCACTATTGTCTCTGCTTGGTTTGCTGTGAGAGCTCTTCCTGTTTTACACTCTGGGCCCTGTTATGCTTTTCACCTACTTTGATAAAGTAATGCTTTTTAAAAAATATTTTATCTAGATTTCAGATTTATAGAAGAATGTTAGATTTATAAAAACAATTGATAGTATTACAGAGTTGATGAAATACTCTGTATTGAGTTTCCCCTTATTGACATTTTAACATTATTATTGACATTATTATTAAAAAATTTAAAAAAATACATGAATCAGTTAGTGAAGCAGTACTAATAACTAAAGTTCATGATATACTCTAACTTCTTCAGAATTTACTATTGTCTTTTCTGTTCTAGGATACCAGTTTATATTATTGTCATGTCTGATTATGCTCCCCTTGACCATGAAAGTTTCTCAGACTTTATTTGTCTTTGATGACCTTGCCAGTTCTGAGGAGAACTAACTAGTCATGTATTTTGTAGGATGTCCCACTATTGGAATTTGTCTGATGTTTTTCTCTTGGTTAAACTTGAGCTTTGAATTCCTGGAGGAATAGCAATGAAGCTTTGTGATAAATGGCATAGAGAGAAAGTGCCCTTTTCATCGTATTATAGCAAGGGTCGTATATACTATCAATATGATCTTATGTCTTCTAATCCTCCATTGCTCTGCTGAATCTGTCTCTTACAACCGTTATCATTGTAATCATGCTCGTTAGATCTTAGCAGTTCCTTGAACATACCAGGCTTGTTTCTACCTCAGAAGTAGACGCTTGTTTGTATTTGTTGCTCTTTGTGCCACTGGATGCTCTTGATCTCGGTAGCAACACCGTTCACACATCTACTTCTAGTTCCTGTTCAAGTTGTGTCTTGTCAGAGCTCTTCATTGAGTACTATATAAAAAAATCATTTAGTTTTCCCATTATCCTTTATTTCCTTCCTTGCTTTATTGTCTCTTCCATTTATCTTCACATGGTTTATTTTTTTTAATTTATTGTTTCTCTTTTCTGCTAGAAGATGACTCCTTGAAAATATGAACTCTGCTTTGTTCATAGATTCCCCAGCATCTAGAACCATGCCTGGCACATAGTAGATGCTCAACAAATATTTATAAATGATTAATTATCCATATTACTTTGTAGAAAAATCGTGCCATGTTATACTCCCTAGGCAGTATATTGAAATGCTTATTACTTCACTAAACCTTGTTCAGTGTTGAATAATATCTTTAAAGATAGTTGATTGGAAAATAATTTCTTTTACATTGGTTTTGATGATTACAAGTAAAAAAATGTTTACATGTATTCTCAGTTGTGTATTCCTCTTTGCAAATTGTTTTTTTCATGTTTTATAAGCTAATTTTGAATGATCTATGAAGTTGTTAGTCCTGAAATATCCCTGGCGAGTAGTTACATGTAAATAACCTATTTTTTCTTCCCTAGGTTATTATAGTGACCACATCACCAAGCTCAACCTTCGTGCCCAACATTCTCTCCAAATCCCATAACTATGCAGCAGTTACTAAGCTTGTACCAACATCAGTCATTGCTTCCACAACCCAGAAGCCACCAGTGGTTATAACTGCTTCACAGTCCTCTTTGGTCAGTAGTTGCAGCAGTGGCAGCAGCAGTTCTACACCATCACCTATTCCCAATACAGTTGCAGTCACAGCTGTCGTATCTTCCACACCATCCGTGGTCATGTCCACAGTAGCACAAGGTGAGTGGTGCAGTGATTCAGGTAATTCTGTTCCTGTAGTGAGTGGGAATTTTAAAGGAAACTTCTCTGTTTGTTTGTTTTTGCCTTGTGTCCACAGTTAAATGGTCTCCATAGTTAGATCAGTACCACTCTCTCCTCTATTTTGAGAAGGACACTAGTAGTTGGATTGCTCCTTTTGCTTTAATAAGCTTATCTCAGGGTTTCTGTTGGATAGTGCCTAGTCACAAGCAATTGCCAGTTACCAAATGTAGGCTAAATATTCTTAAAAAGAAATTTAAAATAAGATACACATGTGTTAGCGTGGTTAAATTTACTAATGAAAAGTTTAAAACGTTCTACTATAAGTTTTTTTTTTTTGGCTGCAATGTTCAGGGGTTACTCCTGGCTCTGCACTCAGGAATTACTCCTGGCGGTGCTCAGGGGACCATATGGGATGCCGCGGATCGAACCCGGGTCGACCGCATGCAAGGCAAACATGCTACCCTCTGCATTATCGCTCCAGCCCCACTATAAGTTCTTAATCTAAGAAACATTAAAACTTATAAGAGTAAGTTGTCTAATGATAAGAAGTAGAGGAAAGAGAATGATTTCAAGGACTTGCCATCTGCCCTTTTTACATTTCCTGTAAGTTTTTCTGTAGTGCTGAATGATGAGAGAGAGAGGTTGAACTGATGGACAGCTACTTAATAGCAGAAGGAGAAATATGGAAACTTTAGTTCTTGTTATTTTATATCAGTTTAGTGCTTATTCGTGTCCTTGTTTCTTCTATATTAGTGGCAAATAGAACGTGATCAGAAATACTCCCTTTATAGTTAAATCTTAAGATAGGACTAGGGGTGCTCGAAATGTGGCTCAGTGACAGAGCGCTTGCCTTGCATGTGTAAGCTTCTGACTTCAGTTTCTGACAGTGTGCATCCACGCACATACATATAAGATAGGGATCAGAGGAAAGAGTTTGTAGTATGTATTGTATAATTTGCTCAGTATTAAATTTGGCTTAAATTGATTGGACCTACCTTCCTTCCTTCCTTCCTTCCTTCCTTCCTTCCTTCCTTCCTCTCTCTCTCTCTCTCTCTCTCTCTCTCTCTCTCTCTCTCTTTTGCTTCTTGCGTCACACCCGGCAATGCTCAGGGCTGGCTCTTTACTTAGCAGTTACTCCTGGCAGTGCTCACGGGACCATATGGGATGCTGGGAATTGAACCTGGGTGGGCCGCTTGCAAGGCAAACACCCTACCCACTGTGCTATTGCTCCAGCCCCTCTCTTTTAATTTGTTTTGTGTATTTATATGAGAGAAATATATGCTGTCATTCACTTCATGACTTTTGTTTAGTATAGTGTAACTTCTTTGTATCCCATTTATTTCTCAGATAAGTCCTATTGTTATTATATTTTCTTTTTGCTGATAGAAATTTTCTTTTTATACTTTTGTGGACCCATGAATTACGGACTACTCTGTTAGTCCTCTTTATTTTCCAGCATCAAGCCACTTCAACTTGTTGAAGTGTTAAGTTACATGTTGTTTCCAATTTAGTTGTACAGCCTAAGACACCTCTTTTGTACACTATTTTTTTAGACTGTGGTCCTGGATGGGGTGCCTCTTCTCCAGTTTCCTAATGAAATCCTCCAATCATTCTAGTTCAAGTGTGGTTCTCATTTAGCATCCAAAATTTAAAATCCTAAAATTATGAATGGATCAGATAATTTTATTTGTGTATTTGGGGGTCTCCCAGTCAGTGCACGGGAGACCAGATTGAGGGTACAAGACCTAGTGCTGCTGGGCGGGCTACTAGGACTGTAACCCAGTGTTGCTTCATCAGGAATTGAACATCTGCATGCCAGGCACATTCTCCAGACATCTCTCTGAACCTAGGTTAAATAATTTTAAGAGAACCAACATATTCCTATGCTTTACCTTAAATAAAGTATTTAATTCCATCCTAGCAGGAATCAGTATAGGCTCTTAAGGAATAATTAAACAAATATGAAAGGTTAGACCCAGAGAATGTAACTTTTCAAGGTTTCTTCTCCTCTTTGAAATTCTTCAGGAGTATTTTTGCAACAGTGTGATTTTAGTAATTATTTCCTGTAATGTGTAATTTTCAAGGTGTTGAGTGTGGGAAGGTATAAAATACCCTTAATATTTAATAATTTGAATGTTATTTTGAATTGTTTTGTGTGTCTGGGGGGTAGGGGCATACCTGGCTGTGCTCAGAGCTTACTCCTGATTCTGTGCTTAGGTATTACTTCTGGAGGGTTTCAGGGGATTGATCATATGGGGTGTTGATGATTGAACCCAGGTTAGCTACATGTAGTACAAGCTGTAGCTACCCACTGTACTATTTATTTGGCCCTTCAGTTTCTCTTTATTATTGCAGCAGTCTTTAAAAAGTTAAAATATTAAATTAGGTACCAGATTCTCTGTTAGGATTATTCATTTGTAGTTATTAATAGTTTGATTGTAGTATTGAGTTATATTATGTTTTCAGATGAACAGTCTGAGAGACAGTCTGAGAGAAGTAAGCTCTTAAATTTACGCATCTTTTAATTAAATTTCTTTTTGGGTGAGAGCTACTCTTAGCTCATTGTCTGGGGTCCACCTCTAGCATTTCTCAGAGAAATTTTTGATGCCTAGGGTAGAGCCCAAGCCTCTGGAGTGCAAAGCACGTGCTCTAGCCCTTTAGCCTTCTTCCCATTCCTGTCATTTTTGGGGGGCCACATATGGCTATGCCCAGAGTTTACGCCCGACTCTGTACTTAAGAATCAGTGTTCAGGGGCACCATAAATGGTACCGCATGCAAAGCAATACCTTACCTACTCTACTCTTGCTTCTGCCCAATAGTATCTTTTAACTCTTCACTTAGGGAGTTGATTTTTATTTTTCCCCAGTATGAGAGCAAGATGCCTCCCTTATAGAGTTTGAGAATTAGATAGAATTAGATATTAGATAATTAGAATTAGATATCAAGTATGTATTATATCTGATATTTATGAGGCATTTATAAATTAGTTTTTGTTGGTTTATAAAGTTTTATTTATTATAACAACTAGAGTAACTGTCATTATGTCTGCTGTTTTATTTTGCAATATTTTACAGGTGTATCCACATCTGCAATCAAAATGGCATCAACCAGACTTCCATCCCCCAAAAGCTTAGTTGGTGCTCCAACGCAGATTCTTGCACAGTTTCCTAAACAGCATCAACAGTCTCCTAAGCAGCAGTTACAAGTGCAGCAGCAGACACAGCAGCAGGTGGCCCAGCCTTCTCCTGTCTCTCATCAGCAGCAGCCTCAGCAATCTCCTTTGCCTCCGGGTATCAAACCTACCATTCAAATCAAACAGGAATCAGGTAACTGGAAAATGTTTTTGAGATTTCTCCCCAGTCACTGATTTGTGAAGACTTAATGATATATGTAGATTTCTTTCTGTATACAGTTTCTTCTAACACCTGAGTTAGTGTTGTTACTGTTGTTTTAAAAGAAATTGTCCTGGGGCCAGAGTGATGGTACAGTGGATGAAGTGCTTTCCTTGCACTCCGCTGATCTGGGTTCTATCCCATATGCTTCTCTGAGCCAGAAGTGATTCCTGAGTGCAGAGCCAGGAGTAACTCCTGAGCATCACTGGGTGTGACCCCCAAACAAACAATAAATACATTTGAATTACGGCAACGTGATTTATAGTTTTTCTTAGTTGAGTTTCAGACATGGAGTGTTCCAGCATCAATCCCGTCACCAGTGTCACCATCTCTCTACTAACATCCTCAGTTTTCCTCCTCCCTTTTCCTACCAGCCGGCCTCCTTGACAGACACATTTTCAAGTTTGGTTGTTGCAGTTTGGATCTCCTGCTTTCGGTTTTGTTGGTTCTGTGGTATATAATCCTGAGTTTTAATTAAAAGTATATTTTGAGATTTTTTTCTATTAGGAATATTTACGAAGAGGGAATTGGAGTTTGTGAATAGAGAAGCAAAAATCACAGCAGGAAGAGATTTGTTTATTCATGTAGCAGGAGAGATAAACCTATCAAAACCCTAATTTCTCTAAATGTTATTTTTATTGTAAGCCTTAAAATTTCTCAGTTGCCAACACTGTTTTTAGAAATCTGCTTTTGTGGTGAACTGTTACAGAATCCCAATAATAGGGTTGGATTGCTTGCTAATGCACATTTCGGTGAAATCCTATTTATCAATTTTCCTCTTTTGAGGTAATTTTTTTTATATCAAGATGAAGAAATTCAGCTAGTTAAAAACTATAGTACATTATGATTAATAATGTACTATAATTATTAATTATTAAGTAGAGACTTAAATGTCTCTACTTAATTTTCAGTTAACTTTTATGCAAGATGTGATGTTTAAGTTCAGGTTTATTATTTTTGTCATATAGCTCTTAAATAGCTGTATTACCATTTGTTGAAAAGATTGCCAATTGAATTGCTTTGGGGTTTTTGTCAAAACTCATTTAGAGCATGTTGTATGGGTCCTTTTCTAGGTACTCCATTATTTCATTGAGCTGCATGTTTATCGCATGGGCAGCATCACACTATTACACTCTTGATTACAGGAGCTACATAGGAAAGTCTAGCATTGACTAGAGTGATAACCTTCCACTTTTTTCTTCTGTTTCAAATTTATTCAAATTTATTTTAGCTATTTCAGTTTTATTGCTTTTACGTGTGTATGTGTGAACAATTTTGTTTGAGTACTAATATGTTTTTTGGATTTTTCTAGCAATACACTGAAACGTAAAATAGTTTGGAGAAGAATTGACGTCTTTTTTTTGTTTTTGTTTTTGCCTTTTGGGTCACACCCAGCGAAGCACAGGAGTTACTCCTGGCTCATGCACTCAGGAATTACCCCTGGCAGTGCCTGGGGGACCATATGGGATGCTGGGAATCGAACCCAGGTCAGCCATGTGCAAGGCAAACGCCCTACCCGCTATGATATCACTCCAGCCCAAGAATTGACGTCTTGTTGAGACTTCTAGTCCATGAATCTTTCCATTTTTTATTGATAATCTTTGTTTTATCAGTGTTTCACCATTCAGCACACAAATTCTTTACACATTATAATGGATTTATGTATACTTAAGAATGTCATTTTCTTGAATTGAATTTAGTGTGATTTTAATTTCGAATACCCTCTGTTCACTTTTGGCATACAGAAATGATGTTGATGTTGTTAAGCTTTTACCTTGCTGAACTAATTTGTTCTGGGAGTGTTTTCTAGAATACGTAGATTCCTTTTGGTTTCCTTTGTCTATAGTTGTGTCATTTATAATTTTCTTAAATTTCTAAAAAAAAAGGTAATTCTTCCTTTTCAGTTGTTATGTTCAATAGGAGGAGTTAGCCATCCTTGTCTTATTCTCAAACTTGACAAAATACTCAGTTAATCATTAAGTATGGTATCAGTTATCTTTTTGTTCTGTTTTTAGGCCTCTCCTGATCCTCTCATCTCCCTGTTCAGTACTTGGGGTCACTCGTGGCAGAGGTCTGGGACCCTGCTATGTCAAAGGATCAAACCCAGATCCCCTGCATGCAGAACATGTATTCCTGCCCATTGAACTGTCAGGCCCACTTAAATTTTTGTAGCTGCTTTTTATGAAGTTGGCAAGCCTATAATGAAGTTGGGCTGTATTATTGCTCCTACCTCTTTTTTTTGTTTGTTTATTTTCATTTAATCTACTAAATCTTTTTTGTTTGTTGTAAATTTTATTTTCGTTATTGTTTCCTTCTGCTTGTTTGGGTTAATTTGATATTTTTGTTTTTTGAGGTGGGAACTTAAATTATTCAGTTGACACTTTTTCCTAAATATTTATCATTTATATCTCTATCCTTATACATGACTTTCTCTTAAAACTCTCTTAGATATATCCCTTTTATTTGACAGACATTTCGTTTCCATTTATTTTGTTTTTAAATTTTCTTTGGCACTTTGTGTTTATCCTGTTGATGCTTAATTTTACTCTTTGTTTTGGGGCCACCTCCCGTAAATCTCAGAGGCTACATTTGTCTCTGTGCTCAGGAACTCAGGAATCACACCTGGCTCTGTGGCAGGGGCCACTAGGTGCTTAGGGGACCATATATGGTGCCTGGATTCAAATCAGGTTGAATCTATGCTAGGCATATTTTTTTTTTTTTTTTTTTTTTTGCTTTTTGGGTCGCACCCAATGATGCTCAGGGGTTACTCCTGGCTTTGCACTCAGGAATCACTCCTGGCAGTGCTTGGGGGACCATATGGGATGCTGGGAATCGAACCTAGGTCGGCAACATGCCAGGCAAACGCCCTACCCGCTGTGCTATTGCTCCAGCCCCTAGGGAAATGTTTTAACCTTTATATGTGAACTTTATACGTGGGTCAGGCCTTGACCTAGAGATTATTTAGAACAGTATTATTTACTTATTTAATTTTCATAAAGTTGTTTACAATAATTTATTGCATTCAGTATTCCAACACCAAGTCTACCACCATTAAACCTTTCCACTACCATTATTTCAAATTTTCCCAACCACAACCCAAGCCTGCCCCAATAGCAGGCCATAAATAAATTTATTTTTTATTTCTTGTTATGAATAATTTGCTAAAATGATCAAAAAAGGTTTACGTAGAATAAAGTGTAAAGATTTTTGTATCTCATCCTGGAGCCATTAGGCCTTTGTATGGGATTACTAACATGTTGTTACAGGTTGAGCCTTGTATGCTAATATTTTTTAGTTGAGAATGGTTGTCTACTTCTTTACATCCCATCCAATGTGGTGTGTTCCTTCTGGTACATCAGTGGTATAGAGTATGAGCTTTAGGATTCTAATTTTATTTTTTCAATTTTTTTAATGAATCACCATGAGATACTGTTACAGATTTACAAACTTTTGTGATTACGTTTCAGTCATACAATAATCGAGTACCCATCCCTCCACCAGTGCCCATTCTCTACCACCAGTGTTCCTAGTATCCCTCTTGCCAACCTCCCTATCCCCGTCTCCCTCCACCCCACCCCTCCACCCACCAGCAGGCACATCCCTTTTATTTTTTTATTTATTTATTTATTTTATTTTTTTGCTTTTTGGGTCACACCCGGCAATGCACGGGGCCATTCCTGGCTCTGCACTCAGGAATTACTCCTGGCGGCGCTCAGGGGACCATATGGGATGCTGGGAATCGAACTCAGGTCGGCCGCGTGCAAGGCAAACGCCCTACCCACTGTGCTATTGCTCCAGCCCCCAAGCACATCCCTTTTAATCTCTCTCTTCTTTTGGGTGTTATAGTTCGCAATACGGGTAATATAGTGGCCATCATGTTTGGTCCATAGTCTACTTTCAGCACGCATCTCCCATCCTCAGTGAGCCCTCCGAGCATCATTTACTTGGTTGTCCATTCTCTGTCTCAGCTGCCTTTTCCCCCAGCATGTGAGACTGGCTTCCAAGCCATGGACGATAGGATTCTAAAATTTTAAATAAGGTATAGCTGGAGTTGAATTTTTAACTAGTTGGTGACTTTGGCATCTGGCGGCATCTTTGCAGCTTGTTTTTCTTTGCCGAGATTTGTGAGTCTCTGGATCATGGCTGGCTAATGAGCTTATATTGCTGCAGAAGCAAGAACTATATTTAGTTTATAAGAGATTGGAGACTTTTTTTTTAATGGTCTTTCAGCTTTTAGTTTCTAGCTTGATTCTGTTATGCTCAGAGAACATATCATCATTCTACTTTTTGTTTTGTTTTAATTTGTTAAGTTTATTTTATGGCTCAGTATGTTTTACTTTGGTGAATGGTTCATGGCACATAAAAAAATGCCTATTCTGTCGTTGCTAACTAAGTATTTTCTCTTTCTATATATACATGTATCAGTTAGATCATGTTGGTTGGTTGTATTGTTCAGTTTCTGTCCTAGTAAGTTTTATTAGTTGGTTAAGTTTTATTAGTTGGTTAGAATAGGATGTTAAAGCACTCAGCCATAATTATTGAACTTAAGTACCTCAAAACTTTTGAAACATTTTGATGCATATCTTGTATGGATTGGTTCACGTTGTGTTGTCTCTTTTACATATTGTATCTTTCCTCATTCCTTTACTCTCAGTCACCTACCTTTATTGTATTAATTCTTCTAATCTTTTCCTTTAAAATGTAGGGTCTGAGGAGACAACACCAGTATTAATAGGTACCAAACCCCGGTTCAGTCCTGGGTTTGAGCCCCCACCATGCAGTACTGCTGGGAATAACCCTAGGGGCCTTCAAATACTGCTGGATGTGTCTGGGTGCCCTCAAGCACTGGTGGGATGGTGTTGGAACCCCAGACCCCCTGAGCACTGCTTGTGAGCCCCAGAATAAATAAAAATAAATAAATAAATAAATAATGTGGCATTGTAGACTGTCCTCCCTTTCATCGATTTGCTCGAGTGGGCACCAGTAATGCCTCAACAAATTGAGACTTGTTGTTACTGTTTTTGGCATATCGAATATGTCACGGGTAGCTTGCCAGGCTTTGCCATGCGAGTGAGATACTCTTGGTAGCTTGCTGAGCTCTCCGAGAGGGGCGGAGGAATCGAATTCGGTTCAGCTGCATTGCTCCAGCCTAAATAAATAAATAATGTATTTAGATCATTTACGTTTCTTTGGGTTTTACTTGAAAACCTTTCCTCCTTCCTTTCCAATCATCATTCTGGTGTGTAGTAGTAAGCAGGAATGACACACATGCCCAGCTTTGTGCTTGTACATTTATATGTGGATTTATTGGAGTTGCACATCAAAATATGTGCTTTGATTTGACTTTGGTGCTTACCAGAGGTTGCTATTCTTTAATTATGCTTGTGTGCATGCTTGCTGGACACCACACTCTGGTTACAGTGCTAACACACATTTTGCTAACACATCTTGCATTGTTGTAATATTTGACATAATGGCTTGCCTCGACTGATTGTGGTGCTCTTGCAGGTTCTCACCAAGGCTGAACTTCCTGGCCATGGTGCTGCTCCCCAATGAGTAATACTAGGGGTTGTTTCAGTTGTGCTCACAGTACCTTACTGTGGATCAACTGGAGACCATTTCCCTGTTTTCCCGGGTTGACCTCATGCAAAAGCAAGCAGCCTAGACACTGTATTATCTCTCCAACTATATATTTTATGCTTTTCGTTACGTTCATTTCTAGGAGTAATTTTTTTTCTTTTTGAATGCACAGGGGCTATTCCGGGTTCATATACTCAGGAATTACTCCTGGCGGTGCTCAGGGGACCATATGGGATGCTGGGAATCGAATCCGGGTTAGCTGTGTGCAAGGCAAATGCCCTACCCGCTATGCTATCTCTCCAGCTCCTCTAGGAGTAATTGAAATAGAATTGTTATTACATTTCCCAAAAATGTTTATTGTTAATTTGTATTGTAGTTTGTTTTTCATTTTCTGTGCACTGGTTTTGTGCCATTTTTCTTATTTTTCAGTTTTATTAATTTTTAAATTTTGTTTCTTTTTTTTTTGGGCCACATCCAGCTCTACTTAGGGCTTACTCCTGGCTCTGCTCTCAGAGATCACAACTGGTAGTGCTTGGGGGACCATATAGGATGCCAGGGATTGAACCTGGGTTGACTGCGTGCAAGGCGAATGCCTTACCTGTAGCTCCAGCCCCAGTTTTAATAATTTTTAATGTTTTTTCAGAATTTTCCCTATAAAAGATGATAACCTCTACAAATAGAGATAATTTCTCATAATACAAACTAGATGTTTTTTATTTTTCTTGCTTAATTTTTATGGTTAGAACTTCTAATTCGTTATTCGATTGCCTCGAGCAGGCCCTAGTAACGTCTCTTTCATCCTAGCCCTGAGATTATATTCAAGGCTATTTAGGAGAATGAGACCCATCATTAGAACTTCTAATAAAATTTTTAATACAGCAGCAAGAGTGAACATCTTTTCTTGTTCCTTCTTTCATAGACCTTATTTTAGTTCAGAGTCTGTAAGATACCCTGAGAGCAACAAATTCTCTCTGCTGTTGTTTATATGATAAAGAATTTATTTTGCCTTCATATTTGAAAGATCACTGCTGGGTATTGGATTTCTGGTTGACAGTTTTTTTTTTCTTTTGACTACTTCAGATACTTTTTCCTACTCTCTGCTATTACTTTGTTTTCTGCTAATAAGTTTTTGTTTTTGTGCCGTATCTGACTGTGCTCGGGACTTAACTCCTGGTGGTATCGGGACCATGTGGGGTGCCTGTGCCTAGTGATTGAACCCTTATGGCCACGTGCAAGGCACATATCTTACCTAATGTACTATCTTTTTGGCCCCTGGAATTATAATTTTTAAAATTCATATTTATATTTGTTCCAGGTATTATGATTTGGTGTTTTTATATATGAGTACCCCAATAAGTTTGTAGCTACAAAGTTTTTTTTGGAGGGGGGTCACACCTGGCAATGCACAGGGGTTATTCCTGGCTCTGCACTCAGGAGTTACTCCTGGCTGTGCTCAGGGGACCATATGGGATGCTGGGAATCGAACTTGGGTCGGCCGCGTGCAAGGCAAACGTCCTACTCGCTGTGCTATTGCTCCAGCTCCCAAAGGTGTTTTTCCCCCCCTCCTTATTTGAGAATTTTTTAGAGAAATGAGCTCTGAATATATCAGAATTATCTTTATTTTAAAATGGTTGTAACATTCTTGAAGTTATATTGACTCTTTTTGGGGCATGGGACACGTCTAGTGGTGCTCATAGTTTCCTCCTGACTCTATGCTCAGGGATCACTCCTGGTGGGCTCATGGGACCATATGGGGTGATTGTCCATCTGCAGTGCTAGCACCTTAACCCCTTTTCTATTTCTCCACCATTGGACCTCTTTTTTTTATTTGCAAACTTTTTTTAAATTTTATTTTTTAATTTTTTTTATTGAATCACCATGAGCTATACTTACAAAGCTTTCATGTTTGAGTCATACAATGCTTGAACACCCATCCATCCACCAGTGTACATTTTCCACCACCAATGTCCCCAGTGTCTCTACCTCCCCCCCCCCCCCCACGTCCCACCTCTCCCCCTACCTCTATGGCAGACAATTTCCCTCTTACTCTCTCTCTACTTATGGGCATTATGGTTTGCAGTACAGATCACAGGCCATCATGTTTGTGGACATTTGTTTTTTAGTGAAGAGGGGGAAACTTTTTAACATTTTATTTTATGAGATCTAGGGGTAACTCTTTTCCTTTCATCTCAGTATTTCCATAGACTAGTTTGTTAGTCTGTAAAAGTTTGGGTTATTCGGGCTAGAAATACAGTACAGAGGTTAAGGTGCATGTCTTGTCTGTGTTAGACCCCACTTTGATCCCAAGCAGTACATGGTTCTCCCAAACATAGCAGGGTGTGCTCTGGAGATCCCTGAATGCTGCTGGAGTAGACTCGGTGATCCCCAGCTTGCCTTGCCTTAGTAGCATTGTATCCCTGTTTCATGTTGGAACATAGTCCTGGTTTGTTATCACCAGCTGGGGCCCTTGACTTCCTGAATATATGAGTATATGCTACTTGTGACAACCCTTGGTCCCCTCAAAACAAGGGTCAGTGGCTAATTTAGTGTGAAATAAAGTTTTATATGACATCATAGACAAAAGAAAAAAATTCAGTTTTCCCCCCAAATTTGTTAATACTATCTATAATGTTTTTGTTTTTAAATTTTTTTTTTCTTTTTGGTCAGACCCAGCAATGCACAGGGGTTACTCCTGGCTCTGAACTCAGGAATTACTCCTTGAGGTGCTCAGGGGACCATATAGGATGCTGGGAATCGAATCCGGGTCGACCACGTGCAAGGCAAACGCCCTACCCTCTGTGCTATCGCTCTAGCCCCACTTTTTTCTTTTTTTAAAAATAATGTGTTCTCGAATAAAAAACTAAGAAAGATAGAAATATGAGAAATCAAAATGTAAAGGGTTTCACTAATATGAAAAGTTTTTCTTAAGACAAGGCTGAGTAAACGTGTGTAAATACTGCCCCCTTGGGTTGGGTATACGACATATTTTCCAAATAAAATTTGGAAATTGTTGGAATTTATCTTTTTTTTTTTTTACAGGTGTTAAAATCATCACACAACAAGTTCAACCAAGTAAAATCTTACCTAAACCCGTGACAGCAACTCTGCCCACCAGTAGTAATTCCCCCATTATGGTGGTTAGCAGTAATGGTGCGATTATGACAACTAAACTTGTAACCACTCCTACTGGTAAGTTTTCCTGAGCATCTATCCATCCAGTCATCACTTACCCATTGAGTGGGTATCACTTGTACCTCAAAGTACTTGACTCTGGGGATATAGCTTAGACTGTTGTTCAGAAGTGTCTTTCTTGACTCCCTCTCTACAACCAATCCTGACATTTTCTTGATTATAATGATTTTCTGTTTTGTAGCATATACTATCATTTTAAATTTCTTAGTTGCTTGTTGACTTGTTTAATGTTCACTAAATTAGAGAATAAGCTTAGTGCTGATAAGGTGCTGTGTTAATTTTAGTTTATACATGTAGAATTGGTCTTATAGGTTCAAATCTTATGATTTGTTGAATGTGAATACCATTCTACCCAAAAGCATCTCACTCTGATGATGTAAAAAGTCTTGTTACTGGGCTGAAGCCCTATTACAGCCTTGAACACAGCCAGCCCGGGTTCAATCATGGCACCACATATGTTCCCCTGAGCCCATCAGAAGTGATCCCTGAGTACAGAGCCAGGAGTTAGCCCTGAGCACTACAGGGTTGACTGTGGCCCAATTAAAGTCTATGTTTCATAATAGTGTAGTAAATATTACTCAGACTGAGGAATAATTTAACATTTTTCCCTGATGGAGTAAGTAATCAGCCTATACGCAAGGAAATGATAGTGTAGAACATTTTCAATAATACCTTGTGTATTTGAATTAGTTAATATGTCTCAGAATCTTTTCCTCTATTTAATTGTAATTATTATACTTAGACTTTAATATTTCTGTACTAAGTAAAATTCAGAATGTACAGTCCCAGCGGAATGCCTAATAGCTAGTAACATAATTAACCATTGCCACTATTTTATGATGATACTAACTTTAATGTTTTTTGTTTTCTGGAGCCTTACCTGGCAGTGTGACTTACTCCTGGCTCTGAGGTTACTTCGCAGTGCTTGGGGAACTGTTTGGTTAGTGCTGGGGATTGAACCCAGGTTAGCTGTATGCAAAGAGAGCACCCTACCTGCTGCACTCTCTCTGGCCTTGCCATTATTTTAAATGTAAAACTTTTCTTTATGCACACATTCGACTTATTTTCATGTGGGTTTTAATATTTCTGTTTTCAGTGACAAACGATTAGCATATTGATAATTGTGTTTCAGTTTATGTTAATCAAACTACATTCGGGTCTGAGCCACCCATGGTACGTATCAGTATCAGTGTGTTAAGCAACTTATCGAACGTCACACAATCGAGAATCAGAATTGGGATTTGAACACAGATCTGTTTAACTCTAAATTCGTTTTATTTTCCTGGTATGCATAATATAGGACTGGAGTGATAGTACAGCGGATAGGGCACTTGCCTTGCACACGGCCGACCCAGGTTTGATTCCTCCGTCCTTCTTGGAGAGCCCAGCGAGCTACCGAGAGTATCCCTCCTGCACAGCAGAGCCTAGCAAACTCCCCATGGCGTATTCGATATGCCAAAAACAGTAACAAAACAAATCTTACAATGGAGACGTTACTGGTGCCCACTCAAGCAAATTGGTGAACAATGGGAAGACAGTGCTGCAGTGCACAATATGAATGCTCACTATTTTTCAAGAATATAGCTTATGGCATTAACTACATTCACATTGTTTTGAAACCATTGACACGATCTGACTTCAGAACTTTTTCATCTTTCCCATCCAAAACTGTAGCCATTAAACAATAATTATGTTCTCATCATCTGTAGGTACTAGCAAGCACCTTATTACTTTGTCTTTAGGCAAAATACGTATCTTGAAAGTCGTTATTTCTGGGCTGTTAGACTGTTAGAGTCTATATATGACTGACCCTGGTTCAAACCCCCTCAGTCAGGAGTGATTCTGAGCACAGAACCAGAAGTAAGCCCTGAACATTGCTGGGTGTGGCCCAAACCCCTCCACAATATAATAAAATGTGTTGCTCATATATTAAATCTATCATATTTCTCCTCCTCAAACTTTTTTCATTTGATACAAAGCTAGTGCTATATTTTTTACAGTCATGCACATATAAATGTTATTCACCTTTATAAAGGTAAATAACTTCTAAAAGGATTTTGAGGGAGGGGCTTATTCAAAGTAGTTACAACTGTGACCTCAACTGGATTATCATGAAAATTTTTTTTTCCACTTGGACAAAGTGTTGTTTAAGTCCGCTTTTTCCAAAACTTAATAATTCTTTTGTATAGTATTTGAATTAAACACACTTGTATGAGACTATAACAACCTCATCTGGTTTTTAATTCCTATTTTTGGGGGGAAGAAAAGACATAACAGTATTATAGAAGAATGTGAAATATTTAGAGAGACTTGAAGAAAAAATGTTCTAAAGGTCATGTAAAGTTGAGTGAACATGTATATAATCAACTTTTTTGGCTAAAAAAATATGTTCCTGGCAGCTCATGACAGTTTCAACTTTCATCTCTAGTGAAATGATAGAATAACTCTTGAAAAAAAGACAGATATATTTGAGGAGTATCAGAGGTATAGAAAAGTAAAAGCTTATAAATAGGCAAACAATATGGCTGTATTTACCAAGTATCAACATTGAATTTTACACTGAGACACCATAAAACAGATGTAGAGACCTTAAAATCTACAACTTAAACCTAAAAAGCTCTGGCCAGGAAAGATGATTAAATTCTTAAAACTAAGTTGAAGAAGGGTAGTAAAATTATTTATACAAAATTATTTATACTTTTTTTTGCAATAATAATTTGATGCAACACATCACAAAATTTTATGTTAAATTTAATTCAGATTGACTTGGCTATACTTCTTGCTATGGGCATTGAAAACTAGCTATAAACTGTTAATGTTGTAACACCTTGAAATTCCATTTTTAAGTTACAGCAAGGCAGATTACATTCAAGTGTAAAATATAAATTGTCGCTCTTCCATAAGTTAATGATAATGTTTCTTTTGGCTTTTCTCTTTTATAGGCACACAGGCAACGTATACACGGCCCACCGTGAGCCCATCCATAGGCCGAATGGCTGCAACCCCTGGAGCTGCAACCTATGTGAAAACGACCAGTGGGAGCATCATTACCGTAGTGCCCAAGTCATTAGCTACCTTGGGGGGCAAGATAATTAGCAGTAATATAGTTTCTGGTAGGTATATTGGGAATAGTCACAGTTCTTCCACAGCCCTGGGCTCTTCTGTGGTTTAAAAATGCTGTTCAGTGAAAATGCTGTTCTTATAGTAAAAATACTGTTCTTCAGTAAGAATCTAGGACTTCATTTCTCTGGCCCATTTTTAATCAAAATGGAAAAATTGTACCTCAGTTTTGCATGGACGGTTTAATTTACAAAGCATTCTCTTGTTAACCCATTCTTGTTAATCCATTCTGACGTTGGAACTCTTAGTTGGTATCATCCCCATTTCTAGTTTGTCACAGACAGATGAGGTTTTAGGGAATTTAAATTCAGTAGGTGAGGACCTGTCCATCCAGTACCACACAAGCTGGGAAAAGTAAAATGTATTCGTTTAAATAGATTTGAGTACCCCATCTCGCAGTTTTAATTACTGATGTCACTTTAGCTTACTGAAACATAAGTTAAATATTTGGGGCTTGGAGTGGTAGTACAGTGGGTAGGGCAGTTGCCTCTCATGTGGCCCATCCAGGTTCCATCTCTGGCATCTCATATTGTCCTCTAACCCTGCCAGGATTGATGATCCCTGAGTGCAGAGCCAGGGCCTCCAAACAAACAGAGAAACAAGCAGTAAATATTTTTATTTACTTTTGACCATTATTTGTTAATCTTTAAAAGTAACTTAGCAAGATCATTAACTCTTGGTGGAATTTTGAAACCTTACCAGTTTTTATTGGTTTATTAATTCCTACAGTATTTGGATTGTGGCTCATGAAGTTGTTAACTTGGCATTCATTTTCATTGATATTATTTTTTAATTAAAATGATGTAAATAATATCTGATTTAGCAAGCTCTCCGGACTTTTAATTGTGTATGATTTTTGTAGTCTAGCCATACTTTGTATGCCCCAGGTGAGTTCTTCAAACATTTCAAATCCATGATTGAAGTTCCTGGCAGTAATGTGATGTTGCTGATAACTCGGAATTAAAAAAAAAAAAAGCAAAGCAGGGCATGGTGTTGGCATAAAACCCTATATTTAAAACTGTTAATTTTGGCAGTACTTATAAGTGTAAATGAGAAAATTCAACGTTTGCCAAACTGAGGAGGAATGGAATCATCATACTTCAGCTATTAAGAGGGTTATTTCAAGTAACACATTTAAAACTCAAACTATAACCTATTACTAGGCTATCTTTAAATAGTGTAGAGCACCTAAACAATTTTAAAAAAGTGATAATATTTTTCAATGATAGTTTTTTTTTTACTTATATATGCATTCATAATGCCAATAACAGATTAATACTCAGAAGTCATGGTGCCTTTGTTTTTAGGCCTTCTGTATGATTTTGCGCTTCATATCATGTTAGAATAATCAATATAAATAAGAACACTTTGCTAGATGCAAAGAGATGGTTAAAATATAAGCTGTGCACAGTTGCAATATTGCAGCCCATGAGGTTTATATGAGGCGATGTTATTGCTGATTGAAAATATATGCCATATGTAGGTTTGTATTTAAATGCAAAACAGCTGATGGTGAGTTACGATTTCTAGTCTGTGAATGTACCTGAAAAGGATTTACAGAGCAGCAGGGTAACTTAATGCAATGTAACCCAACAGTATTTGTTTTAGGGAACTTTTTTTGCCTCTACCTGTTTCTCGTTTGACACATTCTAAAGAACCTTTATTGCTCTGAACTGATTTTTATGTTGCACATCAGTATTCTTCCACTTAAAAAAAAATTATTGTTGTTTTGTTTGTGCTCAGGACTTATTCCCAGCTCTGCTTACAGTTCAATCCTGATGGTACTTGGGGGTCTTTATGCAGTGTCGGGAATCAACTCTGGGTTGGTTTTGTGCAAGGCAAGCACTGTAGACCCTATCCTGGGAGGCAGCTCACCCTGCCCAGCCCGGAGATAGTGTTCTCTGCCCAAGACAGTTCTCCTCAAGAGTTTTTGTTATTCCACTGGTATCATTGGTTAGTAGATTAGTAATTTTCCACTCTCATTGTCTATTCATAGTAAACTAGGAAGCCCAGGAGGATGCATTAGGCATTTTTTTGTTTGCCTTTGTCCACAAAGGATTCTAGAACTCCCCCCACCCCAACTACACTAACTACAATCGTACCCCCCCAAAATATAGGAAATTAAAAAAACAAGCAAACATGTCAATAGCTAGCTCTAAGAATATAAACACTTGCTTTTTAAAAAAAAAAAAATGTTACTTTCCCCTCCATGTGGGAAATTTGAAACATAAAAGAATATTAAAAACCTATCTTTTTTAATTAATTAATTTTTTTATTAGTGAATCACCCTGAGGTACAGTTACAGGCTTACAAACTTCCGTGCTTGCGTTTCAGTCATACAATGATCAAGTACCCATACTTCCACCAGTGCCCATTTCCCAGCAACAATGGTACCAGCGTCCCTCCCACCACCACCACCCCGTTCCCTCCACCCTATTCCGCCTCTGTGGCAGGGCATTCCCTCTTTCTCGCTTTCTCTCTCTCTTTCTGGGTGTTGTGGTTAAAAACCTGTCTTTTTTCCCCATACAGAGAAATATGTCAAAATTTAAGTGCTTAGGGGCCATTTCTGGCTTTTGCTCAAGAGTAACTGCTGTCAGACTTGGGGGGGGGGGAGTCAAATTCCACTTGGCTGTATGCAAGGGCAAGCGTCTGACCCCTTATACTATGTCTCTTGTCCTCTTGAGTGTATGTGTGTGTACACAGATTGAATCCTTTAAAGGTAGACTTTTATTTTCTGCACCATGATTGATAGAAATGGTAGGAATTCATGCATAAATCCTTTAGCACCACACACTTCCCCAGAGTACCCACTTCCCTCCATCACTGTCCCAGTCCTATTCCGTGCACCCTCTACTCAGTCCCTGCCCCCCCACCCCCCCAGGCTGCCCCACTATAATAAGCTTCCTACTGAAGATGCGTTTTCAGTTTCTGTTGCCTCTGACTATTATTTCCTTATTGTGTCTTATACCTCACACAGGAGAGAGAGAGAGAGAGCATTCTTTATCTGTCCCTCTCCTAATTTCAGTCAACACGATACTCTTCAGATCCATCCACATAGCAAATCCAAAATTTCATCTTTTCTTTTAGCCACATACTATTGTGTATATAAAAGTAGATGCCAAAAAGTAGAATTTCTGGTTCATATGGAAGCTCAATTCATAGTTTTTGGAGAGTGTTGATATAGTTTTCCCAAAAGGTTGGACCAATTGACATTCCCGCCAGCATTGAGTGAAGGGTCCTTTTTCTCCACATCTTCATTAACACTGCTTGTTTTTATTCTTGTTTTTATTCACTGCTTGTGATGTATCCCAATCTCATTGGTGTGAGGTGATATCTCATTCTTGTTTTGAGTTATATATCTCTGATGATAAGTGAAGCATAACATTTTTTCATGTGCTCTTTGGCCATCTGTGTATGTTCTTTGCAGAAGTTTCTGCTCATTTGCCCTGTTTTTTTTTTATATAGGTCTGGTTGGTTTTTTCTTGTCAATTTCTTTCAGTGCTTTATACATCTTGGATATTAATCCTTTATCAGATGAGTGGTAGGCAGATATTCTCTTTCAGTATGGTGTGTTTTTATTCTCATCCTCATTTTTGCAGTGCATAAACTTTTTAGTTTGATATTGTCACATATGTTTATCTTTGCTTCAGTTTGCATGGGCAGTGGTATTGAATCACTGAAGATACCTCTTGCTTCAGTGTCGTGAAGTGTTTTTTTACTTGATGTGATTTCTGAAATCAGGTATGGTCTTGAGGTCCTTAATCTGTTTTAAATGGATTTTGTGCATGGTGTAAGAAAGGGGTCTGAATTCATTTTTTTATATGAGACTGACCAATTATTTCAACATCATGTTGAGACTTTATTTTCTCCACTTCATAATCTTTGCTCCTTTGCCAAAAATTAGCTGTTCGTATACATAAGGATCTATTTCAGGGCTCTAAGTTCTATTCCACTGGTCTGAGAGTCTGTCCTTATTCCAGTAACACACCATTTTGATTATTAAAGCTTTATAGTGCAGTTTAAAATTGGGGAAAGAGAAGCTTTTCTTCTTTTTCCCTAAGGTTGCTTTGCCTATTCTGGGGTTTTTATCAATCCATATGAATTTCAGCAACATTTGATCTATGTCTTTGAAAGATGTCACGGTTTTGTTTTGTTGGAGTGGGGAGACTGCATTGAATCTATTAGGACAGGATTGTCATTTAGACTCTATTATTCATTCCAGTCCGTGAACAGGGGATGCTCCTCCATTTCTTTGTATCTTCTTTTAGTAGTGGTTTAAAGGTTTGTGTCTTCTTTGTTGTTGTTGAGGTGATTCTCAGGTACCTGATTTTCTGAGGCATAATTGTGAATGTTTACATATAGAAATGCCATGAATTTTGTGTATTGATTTTTAAAGCCTGCCACTCTGTCAGTTTATTGTTTCTGAGTTTTTTGTTTTTTTGTTTTGTAGAGCCTTTAGGGTTCTCTAATTATAGTATCATATTATCTGCAAATAGTCATATTTTGACTTTTCTAATCTGGATGCTCTTGTCATCTCTGTCTTGCCTAAGTGCTATGGCAAAGACTTTTAGTACATTGCCGAATAGTAGTGGTGAGAGTGGGCAACCTGGTCTTGTGTCTGGTCTTAGAAGAAAGGCTTTTTGTGTTTCATCATTAAGTATGGTGTTGCTGTAAGTTTGTGGTAAATGGTTTTAACTATGTTGAGGAAAGTTCCTTCAACCCCCATTTTATTGAGGATTTTTAATCATGAATGGGTGTTAGATCTTGTCAAGTGTTTTCTCTGCTTTATATGATCTTACGATTTTTATTTTTTCTTGATAAGGTGTATTATGTTGATTGACTTAAGCATATTAAACTATGCTTGCATCCCTGAGATGATGATATCTGATCTTTTTGATGTACTGTTGAATTTGGTTTGTTGATTTTTTGTTGAATCTTTGCATCTATCTTCATCAGGGATATAGACTTTAGTTTTCTATTTTGCTGATGTCTCTATCTGCCTTTGGTATTAGGATAATGTTTGCCTCACAGAAACTAGGAAGATTCCTATTCTTCAACTTTGTGAAAGAGTCTTAAAAAGGATAGGAAGCAGGTCTTTAAAAGATTTAGAAGAACTCACTATTAAACCCATCTGGACATAGGACTTTATTTTTGGGGAGACTTTTGATTACTGTTTCACTTTCCTTGGCAGTAATAATTGGCCTCTTCAGGTGCTCTTTTTCCTCTTGATTCTTTCTTGGAAGACTATATTAAGAGTCCAAAACTATCCATTTCTTCTAGGTTCTCCAGTTTGACAGCATGGCATAAAGATTTTTATAGTATTCATTGATGGTCTTTTGGCATCTTTTCTCATGTGTCCCCTTTAATTTCTGATTTGGTTTATTAGAGTTTTCCTCTCTTTATTTGTGAGCCTTGTTAATGATTTCTGAATTTTGTTTATTTTTTAAAACCAAAACAAAAAAAATCTTTTGGTTTCATTGATCTTTTGACTTGTTTTCTAGTGTCCAGTTTTTAATTTCTGCTCGAAGTTTAATAATTTCCATCCTTCTACTTGCTTTAGGCTCCCTTTGCTGGGTCTTTTCCCAGCTGCTTCAGCCATTTAATGTTAGGTTGTTTATGGGCCTTTTCTTGCTTCCTAATGAATGCTTCCATTGCTATGAACTTCCCTTTTAATACCACTTCTGCTGTTTCCATATGTTCTGTTGACTTACATCTTCATTCTCATTTATTTCTAGGAATCTTTTGATTTCCTCATTGACCCTCTGATTGTTCAGTAATGACCTGTTTAATTTCCAAGTTTTGAGTTTCTCCCTCATATCTGTTCATGACTAATTTCTATTTTCAAGGTATCGTGATCTGAGAGGATAGTTGATACAGTTTCTTTCTTGTTGATTTTATGAAGATGTTTTGTGACCCATTATATGGTGTCTTAAAGAATGTTCCATGTGCATTGAAGAATGGGTGCTCAGCTTTTCCGGGGGGGGGGTGGTGGGGCAAAGGGCTGAGTGTGTGTGTGCGCGCACGCTAGGCCCATTTCTTACTTCAGTGGTGATAGCAGATTATTAAAGTCTCCTACTGCTTTTGTATTAAAGCCAATATCCTCCTTAATAATGGTTTTATTAAGTGGACCCTCTCTAGGAGCATATATATTTAGGAATGCGGATTCATAATGTATTGACTTCTTGATCATTTAGAAATGATCATCCCTGTTGTTTGTGGCTTCTTAAAATTGAAGCCCGGCAAGCTACCGAGAGTATATATTCAATATGCCAAACACAGTAACAACAAGTCTCAAAATGGAGATGTTGCCGGGCCCGCTCGAGCAAATCGATGAACAACGGGAGGACAGTGGACAGTGTTGTCTAACTATAGCCACCATAGCTTTTTAAAGGGAATTGTTTGGCAGTAAGATTGTTTTCTGGCCTTTGACTTTGTTTACCTTGTATGTTCAGGTGTGTCTTGTAGACAGCAGAAAAAGTTGAGTTCAGTTTTCTGATCCATTCTGCCACTCTTGATTGGTGAATTCAGTACATTGACAATGAATGAGGTTACTGAAATGCAGGAGTTTATTGTCGTTATTTTGTAGAAGTTATGCATGATTGTGAATTTCATCTTGCTTTTAAAAGAAGCTCCTTTAATGATTCTTGCAAGCACCCTATGTGCTGTACTGTCTTGCTCCAGCCCCTAAGTAAAAAGTATTCTTGGGGAGGTGTTCATTTCACTCAGCTTTTTCACTACATCCCACCATTCTCATTTGACCTGCAGAGTTTCATTCATGAAACTATGACTCTTAGGGATTTTCTTTGTTTGTGGGCTCCTTCTCCCATCTTGCTGCTTGTAATATTCTGTCTTGTTTCGGCTTTTGTCCTTCTGATTAGGTTTTGTCTTGAAATTTTTATGTTTGGACTTATTATGGACTGGACCTCTTGGGTCTCTTGTTCTACCCACCCCCCAATTTAGTCACTATGAATTACGAGTTTTTTTATGATTGGGTTTCAGGCATACAGTGTTTCAACACCAGTGTTCTCTTTCCCTCCACGAGTGTCCCCAGTTTCTTTGGACCTCTTGAATCTGAGTACATGCGCTCCTGAACTCTGGAAATTCTTATCAGTCAGTATTTTCATTGGCTAATAGTTTTTCATCTTTCCTGCTCCTCAGGGACTCCCAGGAGTCTTACATTGTTTTTCATGATTGCTAGTGTGCCATTTATTTCTTTTCAGACACTGATTTTTCTTTTTACTTTTTTAAATTTACATTAAAAAATTTCATTATTATTATTTTTGAATCACCATGAGATACAAAGTTAAAAAGCTGTTCATGATCGGGTTTCAGTCATACAGTATTCCAACACCCATCACTCCACTACGCTTACTCCTGAATCTACAGTAAGGGGTTACTCCTAGTGAACTCTGGGGATCATTTGTGGTGCTGGGTCACCTCTGTGCAAGGCAAACTCCCTACCTGCTCTACTGTTGCTTCAGCCCATTTATCTATTTATTTAATAAGTTTATTTATTTTTGCTTTTTGAGTCACACCTAGCGATGCTCAGGGGTTACTCCCAGCTCTGTACTCAGGAATTACTCCTGGTAGTGCTCGGGACCATAGGGGATGCTGGGGATTGAACCCGGGTCGGCTACACGCAAGGCAAACATTCTCCCCTCTATGCTGTCGCTCCAGCCCTGCTTCAGCCCTTTTATATTTTAATGGACACATACACACACACCCTCATTTTGTAAAAATAATAGACTTGTCTCATAAATTGACATTCCTCTCTAAAGGAAAGAGGCCACACCAGTGATACTCGGGGGTACTCCTGGCTCTGCACTCAGGAATAAATTCTGGTGGTACTCAGGGAACCATATGGGATACCTGGGATTGAACCCAGGTTGACCATAAGCAAGACAAACACCCTCTCGACTATATTATTGCTCTACCTCCCCCCCCCCTTAAATCAGTTTTTTAAGCTTGTTTGTTTTGATAGGGACCGTCAGAGCTACTTGCATGTTAGAGGTGCTTGAAATTGGCAGATAATGTGGGAAGCCAAAAGGAATCTGTCTAATGACATTAACATTTTGAAAGAAGACATGTTGGTGACAAATTGAGTTCATTGGCGTACTTAAACGGAAGAGCTATCGCAGCTATCCACCATCACAGGGGAAAAATATGGTTCTGGGAAATGAGGACTGAAGACATGGTTTGAGTCAAATAGTTACACCAGAATTTCCAAGCTGGAATGGTTTAGAATATATAGGAGACATTTGATACATAAATAGATTTGGTAGGTAAAAGAGAATAGATTGTGGAAGGATATAAGGGAGAAGACAAGATAATATTATTTGGATCAGCAGTTGTAAATTTCCTTAGTTGATCTTCATAGTTAAAAATGAAAGGTTTCTCATAGATAAGTTATATGTCAGAGACCCATCCTGAGACGATTTAGAGTGCGTATATAATCTGATTTTATTTATTTAATTTTCTGTAGAGTTTCTTATTGCTCTAATCACAGTATTACAGTTCTGGGTTTAGGAAAAATGCTTGTTATGGATTAAAAAAATTCTGACTTCTTTCAGGTTACTAGTCAGAGAAGAAATTGATGGGGAAATCTATAGTGGGTTTTTTGTTGTTATTGTTTTGGTTTTGATTTTTTGGGCCACACCCGGCAGTGCTGAGGGCTTCTTACTCCTGGCTCAGTGCTCAAGGTCACTCCTGGTGGTGCTTGGGAGGACCATATGCCATGCCAAGGATCAAATCAAGGTTGGCAACATGCAAGACAAATGCCTTCATTGCTTCTCCAGACCCAAATGTAAATGCTTAATTGTTTTTGCTTGGTTTTGGTATTTTGAGCCTCTCCAGGCTGTGTTCAGGTCTGTCTTCTGGGTCTGTGCTCAGGGATCATACCTGATTGTGCTCAGGGAAAAATATGGTTCTGAGAATAGAACCTAGGTTGGCCATGTGTAAGGGAAGTGCCTTGCCAACTCTACTATTTCTCTGGCCCTTAATAGTGAGTTTGATGTGAAGGCCCTCAGATTCCAAAAAGATGGCTGCTATAAAAACAATTTTTTTATTATTAGCTCCTAGGATAATTTAAAATTCTATGCTTTTATTTTCATCCTCATTATCTTTCTTCATGAAATGCCACCTAGGAAGGACATTGACTACATAATCATGTACAATATAAATAGAAATGACTAAGTATCACTAGTCCTTAACTCAGGCCTTCTTTTCTTTCCTCTTCTCTAAGGAACAACTACTAAAATCACTACAATCCCAATGACTTCCAAGCCCAATGTGATTGTTGTGCAGAAGACTACAGGGAAAGGAACCACCATTCAGGGCCTTCCTGGCAAAAACGTTGTCACAACTTTGCTGAATGCTGGGGTAAGTAAGAGCTTGAACCACAGATTTAGACATCCATTGAGGACTTTAAATACTAGCTTATACATATATTTGCCTAAGGACTTCAGAATCCCACAGTGTCTAAAATGACTTGATTTACAACTACTATGATGTAGTTATTGTTAAAAACACCAACTGATGCCATTTTTCAAAGTTCTTAAGTATGTTGCTTGTACCAACTTGCTTTTCACCGATTTTCAGTTGATCCGTTTGATTCAGCTGAAGTATTCTTCCTTTGTTAAGAGAACACTGATTCCTGCTGATGGCCAATAGATATTAGTCTAGTATTTGGCCTAGTCTGGAAAAAGAGAAACGCTTTTGATTAAGATTAAATCAATTGAGTAATTTGTTACTTTCATTTTTTTCAATTTTTGCTTTCAGCTCATGAAAAGAAATCAGTAAATATTTATGGTTCTGAAGGCAGTTCTTAAGAGATTTGGAGTTATACAGACTTAGAGTTTGACTCTTAAGTGTCATAGTTTTCCTTTGGCTAATTTATTCATCCTTTCATCCTTGATTTCTTCATTGTACATAGGGATGTAGAGCTTTCCTGGTGAGTTTGTTCAGTAACTGGTAGCTATTTTGAAAGTGGTTAGAACAATCCCTGCCACACTGAAATTACTCAGTGTATTTTCCCCCTAATTATTATACTTTGTGCTAAATTTTTTTTTTGTAAAGTCTGCATTGCTTAACTGTAAGATGGAATGGCTTTATATTACTTATCAGAACTGGCATGACAGTTTTTACATTGTTAGTAGGAGTCAGTATTAGAGGTTTGTTTTATTTTTTTTTAAATTTTTAAAAATATTTTATATATTATTTTGCTTTTTGGGTCACACCTGGCGATGCCCAAGGGTTAATTCTGGCTCTGTACTCAGGAATTAGTCCTGGCATTGCTCAGGGAACCATATAGGATACTGAGGATCAAATGCAGGTTGGCCATGTGCAAGGCAAACGCTCTACCTGCTGTACTATCAATACAGCCCTATTTGTTGCGGGTAGGGGCATTTGCCTTGCATGTGGCCCATGTGGCCGACCCGAGTTCGATTCCTCCGCCCCTCTCGGAGAGCCCGACAAACTACTGAGAGTAGCGCGCCCGCACAGCAAAGCCTGGCAAGCTACCCGTGACGTATTCGATATGCCAAACACAGTAACAACAAGCCTCACGATGGAGACGTTACTGGGCTTGTTCGAGCAAATCGATGAACAGCGGGAGGACAGTGCAGTGCTAATCTCATAGGATAACAGGTTGTTCTTAAGTCTGAGTTTTCATGGTAAACCAGAAATGAAGCAATGATTAGAATTTAGATTTTTAGAATCCTAAATAGTCTTGTTTGTAATTTCATAGAATTTGATATGTGATATTCTATTCACATAAATCCAAGAGTCACATGTGAATCTGCTTGATTTTTTTAAATAGTAATACCTTGACACAGGAACTGATAATAAAACAAGCAGCATGACAGCGTATAAGATCATCCTCTTCATCACATGTGAACATGCACCTGTACTCCTGTGCCCCTGTGTATACCCTCATATTAAACTCATCAGAAGACCACACCGATCTGTGCTTAGGGGTTACTCCTGGCTTTGTGCTCAGAGATCATTCCTGATAGTGCTCAGGGAATCGCATGTAATGTCAGGATCAAACCCAGATTAGTTGTATGCAAGGCATGTGTCCTCCCACTGTGTACTATCACTGTGGCATCTCATCAGAACTTTTTCTTGGGGGTTAGGGGGAACATCGCATGCCTGGCCAGTGCTCAGAGCTCTTAAGTTCAGGGGTCACTTCTGGGCACTATACATGGTGATCAAACCAGCCAGCCGGATGCAAGGCAAGTAAGTACCTTAACCCCTGTACTATCTCTCCAGCCCCCATCAGACAACATTTTTATAAAAGTTGCCTGCTGATTGGTTTTGATCAGCTATGACTAGTTCATTATACTATTCAACATTGAATAGTAACTCAGCTTGGCTTTTTGAGGTATTTGATAGCTTGCCAACTTGCAACTGAAGCAGCTCTTTTTTGAACAAATTAAATCTTTTATCAGAGATGCTGCTTTGAAAGTGTGTGTATTAAATAAGCTGCCATACAATTAGCAGGTGCTTCATGTTTTCCTTAGATAATTAGAGCAGAGAGTTGACCATGTGGTTTTTGTAGTTATACTTAGCTCTAAATTCAAGGTGAATTTACCTCTTTTGTCAACTCATCAAGGCGTTTTGTTTTTATTGGTTATTACATTTAGATGTCCACATGCCTCGATAATGGTACTACTAAAGAAAATTGATAGAATGAAAAATTTTGGATTCTTTGTAGTTTTGTGAAATTTTTGTTTGTTTTTGTTTGGGGCCACACTCAGCTGTGCTTAGGGCTTACTCCTGGCTCTGTGCCCAGGGATTACTCTTGGTGGGATTCAGGGGACTATGTTGAGTGCCAGGGATTGAACCAGAGTTGGCTCTAAGGCATGTGCCTTGCCATCTGTACTCTCTCTAACCCTGGATTTTTTTTCTTTTTGGGTCACACCCAGCGATGCTCGGGGGTTATTCCTGGCTCTGCACTTAGGAATTATTCCTGGTGGTGCTTGGGGGACCATATGGGATGCTGGAGATTGAACCCAGGTCGGCCGCATGCAAGGCAAACGCACTACCTGCTGTGCTATCACTCCGGCCCCTAACCCTGGATTTTAATTTATAAAATGTTGGTATATAAAATCCACTGTATTTGAATTTCATTTCAATTCAAGTATTAACTATACAAATGACCAGAAAACAGTACATAGAAATAAAGCAGATGAAAAAGGTGAAAAATTAATGGGTTTAAGTTATCTAGTTAATAGCCAGAGTGATATTAGTAATGTATGTATAATAAAACATGGTAAATGCCATAAATGTTTTCTTTCTTTTTTTGTTTTGTTTTGTTTTCTGGGTCACATTGCTCAGGGGCTTCTCCTGGCTCTGGACTCAGGAAATACTCTTGGGGGTGCTGGATCAGCTGCATGCAAGGTAGTATACCCTACCTGCTGTAGACTACTGCTCCAGCCCCATAAATATTTTTGTAATTATCATGTAACCCAGAAAAAATAACTACATTGATTTCATCTCTGTTTATACTTTATCACATGGATGTTCTGCCGTATATTCTTAGAATTTCATATTTTGAAAACATAGGAAATTTGCCTTATATTTGTTAACTATTGGTAACTATATTAGCAAGGTAATTTTTTAATTACATAAATGGTCATTATTGAAATTGAAAAAATGTAGGAGGGCAAACATGTAGCCCTGTTTTAACATATATTCTAGAATTTTTTTCTTTTGGTATAGGTATTTCATGATGGGACAATATAAGTATTACAGGTAGTAATTTTTTTAATTTGCTCATTAGCAAATGCATTTTGGACAGAAATTTTGTCATGACATGATCATTGCAACAAGGCAAATCTACTTGATAGTGTACTCTTCCTTTCATCCTACTTGATAGTCTACTCTTCCTCTCATCCTGGTAAAACCTTTATTAGTTTTTAGTCAATAAGTAGTTTATTTTATCATGTGCTAGAGTGATAGCACAACGGGTAGGGCATTTGTCTTGCATGCAGCCAACCCAGCCGACCAGAATTTGATTCCTCCGCCTTCGATTCCTCCGCCCATCTCGGAGAGCCCGGCAAACTACCGAGAATATTCAGCCCGCACGTCAAAGCCTGGCAAGCTCCCCATGACGTATTTGATAGGCCAAACACAGTAACAAGTCTCACAATGTTACTGGGCCCGCTCGAGCAAATCGATGAACAACGGGAAGACGGTGACAGTGATTTTATCATGTATGTGCATATAAATTCCTTCAATAGTCACTGACTTCAATTTAGGGAGAAAAGACTATACAAACAGTGCCAACTGGAGCAAAGCCAGCGATCATCACTGCTACAAGACCCATCACCAAAATGATTGTAACCCAACCAAAAGGAATAGGCTCCACAGTTCAGCCAGCAGCGAAGATCATCCCAACAAAAATTGTTTATGGCCAGCAAGGTAAAACACAGGTATGCTTTGAAATATGGTGATTTTCCCCCTTAGCTTTGTGTGTGTGAATGTGTTTGCTTTATTGGACACTGAACCCAACGCCGTGCACATTTGAAACATGCATTCTACCACCATTGTCAGGTTTGGTTGAGAAATGCTATTTTAGAACATTTTGTAAAGGTTATCACAGCAGGTAGGGCGTTTGCCTTGCACGCAGCCAACATGGCTGACCAGAGTTCGATTCCTCCGCCCTTCTCAGAGAGCCCGGCAAGCTACCGAGTGTATCTTGCCTGCACGGCAGAGCCTGGCAAGCTACCCGGGACATATTCGATATGCCAAACACAATAACAAGTCTCACAATGTTACTGGGCCCGCTCAAGCAAATTGATGAAAAACGGGATGACAGTGACCACATTATTGTACTTAAAAATGAATAGTTTTGGGGGCTGGAGCAATAGCGCAGCAGGTAGGGCATTTGCCTTGCACACGGCTAACCCATGTTCAATTTCCAGCATCCCATATGGTTCCCTGAGCACCGCCAGGAGTAATTCCTGAGTGCATGAGCCAGGAGGAACCTCTGCATTGCCGGGTGTGACCCGAAGAACCAAAAAAAAAGAATAGTTTTCTGAATCTCCTCAGAACATAGTTATACATATGTATATGTACATACACATACATATATACATACATAACACTATACATACCTGCTTACAAAATTTTAAAAAAAGTTTTTACTTTGGGCCACATTCAGCAGTGTTCAGGGGCTACTCCCTATTCAGTGCTCAGAATTGATTTTGGCAGTTGTTGTCAGGGATCGTACTAGGGTCTCCTATATACAAGCTGTGTGTTCAGCCCTTGAACTATCTCTCTGGCCCCTAGTTTACATATTTAAACAAGTTTCTGATTAGAAAAAAATCCAAATCGCCTTTAATTTTCTCTTAGAACAGTTTCATTTCATCAAACAAATCACAGTGTCATTGATATTCTCATTTTTGAATTCTTGGAAATGGGTGACTTCAAGCGTCTTTAAAAGGTTTAGAGCGATACGTATGAGAGGGTCAAAAACTATGACACATCGCATCTTTGTTTCCTGCACCCTGATTGAGGTCAACTCCTAGGATTTATATTTTGAACTGGAGCGATTCAGTTAGCAATTTTTTTCCGAGTTTCACTGGTTTTAGTGTTTGTGGTTCTAACTTTCAGAGGAGTCGATCCTACTACATTTTTCGTATTGCTTTTAATAGATTTTGTTTCTCTAGCTTTTCAAAGAAGAGGTAAGTCTCAAAGATCAGATGTGCACAAATATCAATTGGGAGCTTCATTTTGCTGCTAATGAAAAGTCAACTAAAGAACAGTGACTTTTGGGGGCCTTTTGGGAGGGAGACACACCCAACAGTGCTCAGGGCTTACTTCTGGCTCTGCGCTTGAAAGAATAAGTACTCTAATCTTTCGTGGCTGTGCTTAGGCGCCCTTTATGGGATGCCGGGGATTGAACCTGGGTTGGCAGCGTACAAGGCAAGTGCCCTACCAGCTTTACTCTGGCCCCAAGAACAATGACTGAAGTAAACTAGGGTTTTCTTTTCATTACGTTAAGGGAGGAAATCTTATACTTGTTGTTCGGTCTCAAAAATTCTGTGGGGAAACTAGGCATCTAGTGTCTTTCTGTTTGAACCCCTTCTCACCAAAAACTAAAATAAAAGCACTGAACATGGCTTGATTAAAATTTGTTTCTAGATTGAGTTAGTATTTGATGATGTGCCCAAAACTTAATAAATACAGTATTGTTTTCCCATATCAGGAAAGTATTGAAAGAATAAGTATTCTAAACTAGATTTATTTTCTTTATTCCTTCTAGGTTCTTATTAAACCTAAACCAGTTACATTTCAAGCAACAGTTGTTAGTGAACAAACAAGGCAGCTGGTCACAGAAACGTTACAACAGGCTTCGAGGGTTTCAGAGGCTGGTAATTCGTCTATTCAGGAGGGAAAGGAAGAACCACAGAATTATACAGATAGTAGTTCCTCTTCTGCTGAATCTTCCCAAAGCTCCCAAGGTAAAATTCATTTTACTTATGTATTATTTAATGACTGTGAATACAGCTCCCTAGTTCCAAAAGAGAAGTTGCCTCTAGGATTTTCAAGCAAGTATGCTTTGATTTGTCAGTTCTTTTGATTTTTTTTTTTGTTTTGTTTTGCATGTTGAAACTTCAGTGAGATGAAATTTTCCTTTTGGTATTGCTTATTATCTTTTCTTCATGGCATATGCTCATAAAATAACTGGTAAACTCTAGAGATGATTTTGATGTGTATAGGTATTACCAAACTGGTTAGAGCTTGTGTTTGCTTTGGGTAAGTAGAAGAATGCCAGGAAGAAAGATATACCTTTGAAACAGATACTGCTGAACTTTGAGAAAAACAAGGTGGACAAGGTGGACAATTAGTATCATCTAATTAAGCTAACCGAACTATATGTTGCCATTTCCATGGGAGTATTTCCATTTAGCTTAATTATCAGCAACACTCCTTTTTGCTTTCAGTAGTATCCCTAGTTTGTATGATAATTGTATACTTACCCTATTTGTAAGAAAAATGCTATGAAGCCAGACCCCATATTACTATCTTAATTATGTTGTTCTTGTAGGGAGTCTATTGAAATAAAGTTTGTAACCTACCATCCGGTACTTAAGTTTCTGTTAACCTTCACTCCTGTTATTGGTAGGTGATGTGCTTATACCATGGTTTATACTCTGATACAACTAAGCAAAATTAAGTCTATCTTCCCTTGATCATTTCTCCCTCTATTCTTTCTCTGCCTCCCCTCCATCATTTTTGAGTACTTTTTTTAGCATCTCCACTTTCTTAGTACAGATTTTTTATACTAGCCCTTGATGATTTTAGCTCTTCAGTGAAGGCTTCCCTGATTAGTCTGACATGGTCCAAATACTGTTTATTACATTAATTCAATTTCACAATTCTGTATTGCTTAATGATATGTACTAAATCAGTGTTTCTTGGAGGTGAGTGATACTGCCCTTTTCTCCCTAGACACTGAAATAATCCATGGGGGTCAGTAATAGTCTGGGGGTATTTGGGGTGGGTGGGGTGGGGTGTGCTTTCTGTTTGTTAGCTTAAAGAAAATGGATTTCTAGTGAGTAAGTTTTCTTTTTAAAACCTGGCAGTAGGCCAAATAAATTTGGGGACCTTGTACTGGATCCTATAATGGTTGAATAAAATACAATTCTTGAGCTCTAGGAGCTTAAAGTCCAGTATAGGAGATGTAAAAGGTACATTTGTAACCCCAATATAAGAATTTCTTAAAATATTTTTTATTAATGAATCACCATGGGGTACAGTTACCGACTTATAAACTTTTGTTCTTGAGTTTCAGTCATACAATGATAGAGTACTCTTCCCTCTAGTGCCCATTCTCCACCACAAATGATCCCAGTATACCTCCCATCACCCCCATCCCATCACACCCCTCCCCCCACCCCGCCTCTGTGGCAGGGCATTCCCTTTTGTTCTCTCTTTCCTTTTGGGTATTGTGGTTTGCAATAGAGGTTGGTACCCCTATATAAGAATTTTATTATTTAATTATTATTTTTTGCTTGTTTTTGTTTTGGGGCCGTGCTCAGAGATTCTCAGAGATTCACTCCTGGCAGTACTCAGGGGACCGTTTGGGATGCTGGGGATCGAACCTAGGTTGGCTATGTGCAAGGCAAGCGCCCTACCCATTGTACTATCTCTTCAATCCCAAGAATTTTATTATGATTAAGCAAGAGACCGCCAAAGGTAGACAGTTAACCTCCAGGGAGGCTAAAGGGCTTCAAGAAGGAAGTACCACTGGAAATGATCCTTGAAAACTTAACACCTAAAAATAAATCTAAATGTTTTGAACAGTGTGGCACTTATTTTACAAAATGAATAGTATTCTTCAGTACATCATTCAGTGAAATGATATTTTGTGCCAGTTTGCTTAGATTCACTTTTATCAGAGTATATTGGTTTTTAAGCCAGTTTATCTGCTAGTTGCATTAGAGTGGTGCTCAGCCTTTACATAGGTCCTTTGAACTTACTGATTATATATTTGTAAATTTTGTTCTGAGTTCAACACACCAGCTAATTTTTTTTTCTCTAAGCCTGCAGTTAATTGAGTAATACTGACTTTCCTTTTTTTCCCCCTTGAGAATTCTTTTCATAACAGACAGGTAGAAGGTTTAACTCCTCAGATATTACTGAAAGGAGGACATGAACAATAGGTGCCTCTATATAATCATGGGTTGTACTTTGAAAATAGCTGCTATAAGCACCAATCATTTTCTAAACCTGCCATTTCAGTTGATGAATCTTCAGTTCTTGTTGTAAGAAGAGGTCAAAGTTCGGCTATTTTTAGGAGTGAGGGGATATTTTGCTCTTTGATTGGGTATACATATTTTTATCTACTTTTATTTATTCATTCTGTATTTTCATCGCATCTAACTTTTAAAAATATTTGTATCAAAAATTTCAGTTCAGAATAGACTTACCTAATACAGTTGACTCTAAAGACCTTATTTTGCTCAGGGCTTACGACTGACTGCGCTCAGGGATCACTCCTGGCAGTAAAGCCCATTTTTGTAATCTGCACTTGGTCCTTCCCTGATATTTTTGCATGGCTCCTTGGTACATTTCACAGCCAAGAGCTGGGAATCATGTGATTAAAGAGAAAAGGATAAAGAATTTGGACTCAGTGTAAGATAATGCAAGTTTACAAAGAATATGTTTCTAGAAATGTGACCCTTCGTCATGTCTTCCCTTTATGTTATTTGAATTTTTAGCTTTGTTTTGTTTTGGGGCCACACCTGACGTAGCTCAGGACTTACCACTGGGTCTGTGCTCAGGGATCCTTCCTGGCAGGAGTCGGAGACCATCTTGCGATGCTGGGGATCGAACCCGGGTCAGCTGCATGCAAGGCAAGAGCCCTGCCTGCTGTGTTGTGCCTCTAGCCTTAACTTCTGCCCTTAGGAGAAAGAAAATTTGTAATAAAGTAATTGCAAACTTAGAAAAAAGTTTCAGGAAGAATAAAAAGAATTTTATACGTGTGTTTTACCTAGATTCACAGCTTCTTTAATTTTGCCCTAATTGCTTTTTGTGGATTCTCTTTCTGACCTTTGAATTCCCTTACTGTGTATGTTTATGACTTTCATGTTTCTTAACCATTTGAATGCAAGCTGTAATTACCACGTAATTAAATCCTAAATGCTTACCATTCTTTTGTCTGTCTGTCTTAATGTTGTCTTCATAACTTAAATATAACTAGTAAAATCAAGAATTTAACATAATACTACAATCTGCAGTTCATTCAAATGTTTCAGCTGTTCAGTAATGTTCTTTGTAGTTTTCGTCTCCTTTATACAGTTTACTTTAGAGTATGTATTGCCTTTAGCTGCGTTTGTCAGTTTTGTATTTTTCGTTAACTTGGGATCATATAGTAGCCTTTCTTTGTTTCACTTACTTTAAGGAATATTCCATAATTTGGTTTTATCTAATGTTTACTCATGAATAGATTCAGTGAGAATTCCACAGGTAGAAGTTGTGTAGTTTTTATTTTATCTGGACAATATATCATGTGATTTTATATATATGTGTGTGCATATATATATATCTCACATATTTGCCCCAGTGTTGATGTTAATGTTGATTACTTGGCTAAAGGCTTGATTTTCATATTACGATGTTACCATATTTCCCTTTGAGACTAATAGTAATTGTGGGAGAAGTACCTTTGAGACTTTATAAATGTTTCTCATCAAACGACAGTATTAATCTATTTTATGATTATTACTGATATGCTTGATTATTGTTATTATACCATAGAAATAAATTTTTTTTTCTTGACTTTAGATCTTTTTTTTTCTTTTTTTTGGCAATGTTCCATATACAAGTTCTGGAATAAGATCTTTTATGCCAAGGGAATATATAGATTTATTTGTTTTTTTATTTTCGGGTCACACCCAGAAATGCACAGGGGTTACTCCTAGCTTTGCACTCAGGAATTATTTCTGGAGGTGCTCAGGGGACCATATGGAATGCTGGGAATCGAACCCGGGTCGGCCACATGCAAGGCAAACTCCCTCCTCTCTGTGCCATCGCTCCAGCCCTGTTATTTTTTTTTTTTGTTTGGGGGGACTATACCATGTGGTACTCAGGGCTTATTTGTGGTTCTGTACTCAGGGATCACTCCTGGTGAGGGTCAGGGGATCACGTGGGGTTCTGGAGATTGAACCCAGGTTGGTGATATGCAAGGCAAGCGCCCTGTCTCGTCAGCTACCCTGCCCAAGGAATGTATAGATTCTACTTGTGGCTTCTGAACTTCCGCCCTCATACCTCATCTCCACGGAACAGTAGTATAGGCTTTGTACCTATTCCCCAGTTGTTTCCTCAGGGCTTAGAAGGGTTCCCTGTCTTCACCTTGTTGTGATACTTTCCTTGGTCACTCTGATTATTACTGATAGTAATATCAGTAATAATATTACTGTATTATTACTGGCAGTTTGTCATTCTTTCTACAATCTGTTGCTAAAGTTGTTTTGCACTGCCAGTTATTTTATCATTAGTCATGTTCACGGTCACGGTCCTCCTGTTCATCGATTTGCTCGAGCGGGCCCATCTCGCCCGCACAGCAGAGCCTGGCAAGCTACCCGTGACGTATTCAATATGCCAAACACAGTAACAACTAGTCTCATGATGGAGACGTGACTGGGCCCGCTCGAGCAAATTTGTCATGTTATTTAGTATTTTTTTGATTTGTACATTAAAATTTTCATTTCAATAGGATAAGAACTTCTTAAAGGCAAGGTTTATATTTATCTTACACATTCAATATTTAGCCAAGAAGTTAGTGGGCACACAGTAAAATTTTCATTACTGTGATATAAGGTAAAGCTTGAGCCATATAAAACATTTTTGTTGCCTCATTTCAAAGTGTTAATTCTGGGATTTTCCCTAACCTTGTGGGTGGACCTTTTGAGTGTATAGCCTGGACACTTTTACATATTGATAACTTGGTCACCAACCCTAATGAAACAATGCTAAACTTTCTTGGTCAATAAATGAAGATGGGGCCATATGCCTAACCGGATCTTTTTTCCCTCCTTTTTAATTTGGGATCTGGGTTAGTGTCAATGTGCTTCAGATTAATAAAGTGTTATGTGTTTTTTGGTTTTGGGGTTTTGTTTTGTTTGATTTTTTTTGGCCACACCCTTTGGTGTTCAGTACCTACTCCTGGCTCTGTGCTCAGGGATCACTCTTGTCAGTGCTCAGGGGACCATATGGTGTCCCGGGGATTAAACCCAGGTCAGCCACATGTAAGGTAAGCACTTAACACCATGTATTATTGTCCTGAACCCTCAGGGTTTTCTTATTTAATATTCTACTTCTATCCAAAAGACTGTAAATTGGGAGAAAATGAGAAGATTAAAACTAAGCATAGGGATTTGAGAAGAAACCAGACATAGACAAATAGAAAAGCGTGTTCAGTAAAGACAGCACTTTAGAAAATCTTGTTAGGTCGTTTTGAAAGTGGGACATAAATTCACATAAGCAAAATGCAACTTTTTAGGAACTTTCAAAACTATTTTGTGTTTATATATTGTGAAAGATTTAGAGTAGACTATGTAACGTACAGTTCCCCCAAGTTTTTCATGGTTGTAGCCTTCTTTTACAGAACATTTTGAGGAATTAATGTTCCCTGCAACAGTTTGGGTTATTCTCCCTTGGCAGCTTAGGTATTCTAAAAGCCTTGGGCTTTATGACAGAGTGAAGGATAGTACATACCACATCACAGAAAAGCTATAGACATCTTGGATTTAGTTAACAGGAGATGATTTAGATGGTTTAAACATAAGGAATTTATTTTATGTGAAGGAACAGTTGGTCAAAAGGATATTTTTCATGACGAGAAGATGAAGGTTGGGTTGGGAGGATATGTTAAGCTGTCATCAGTTATCTTGAGTAATGCAGCATGGAAAATAAAAGAATTGGTCTTTTTTTAGATATATGGATGGAAATGTTCCATGTAAGAACATTTTCTAGTGTTTTTTGTAGAGGTGGGAGGAAACTGTCTTAAAAAGTTGTGAGTTCTTTGATGCTAGAGTTTCTGTACTGTAGGATTCCAAATGTCACATGAAGCATATGTTGGTTCTTATTTACTCATTGTGTTATACAGAATTTAAATTTAAGAGAATTGGTAATCTGAGGAATCATTCTGGGATGATTTGGGATCACTTTCATGTTGTCTCAATCTTGGCGCTTTTGACCCCAGCATTAGACTTGCATAGGCAGTATATCTACTCTAAGCACATGCCAGAGTAAAGGAAAGAAAATCACCCATAGGATGATTTTTACATCTTTGTTTCACATAGCTGTTGGAGGATTGCTGCATGTAGTCTTAGATACTCAGCTCCAGAGTATGGGCAAAGTGACCCTTTTGGCCCTGCACATGATATTGTTTTGGCCGTTACGTTTTTTAGGCTCTCCTATGTGAAAATTTATTTACCTTCCCTCTCTACAACGCCAACCCTGCTTTCTCCTGGATGTTCTATGTATTTTATGCAGTTGGATTTTAGAGCCATCCTTTGACTTAAGGTCCTTTTACCTAACCAAGCAGTACATCATCTTGGGAATTTCTTCTTTCTTTCTTTCATTTTCTTTTTTTCCTTTTTGGGTCACACCTGGCGATGCACAGGGGTTACTCCTGGCTCTGCACTCAGGAGTTAGTTCTGGCGGTGCTCAGGGGACCATATGGGATGCTGGGAATCTGGGAATCGAACCTGGGTCGGTCGCATGCAAGGCAAACGCCCTACCCGCTGTGCTATCTCTCCAGCCCCTCTTTTATTTTTTTCACCTTAAGAATGTTTTATATTTTAGAAATTAGGTTATGTAAAAAGAATGATTCCTCAGATTACCAATTTTCTTAAATTTAAATTCCGTATAACAGAATGAGTAAATAAAAACCATCATATGTTTCATTATAGTATTTGATAGTGTTTGGGTGTGTGTGTGAAAGAGTGGAAATACAGATTGTTAATGGTGATTTAAAACTCCTTCTATATATTGATTTTGTTATTTGGGAGAAGCTGTTTTGAAGAATCACTCTCCTATCCCTACCCTTTTGGACAACTAATTGCTTTTCCAAAATGTAAGGTTTATAGAAGAATGAATTATTTTTATTCGTGTTTGGGGTGGAGGGGGAGTACGTTCTTTTTGGTATGGCGTTTGCTTGACTGGCCGAGCTGGGTTCAAGTCCTCCGCCCCTCTTGGAGAGTATCTCGCCCGCACAGCAAAGCCTGGCAAGATGCCTGTGACATATTCAATATGCTAAACACAGTAACAAGAAGTCTCACAGTGGAGACGTTACTGGACCCACTCGCAAATTGATGAACAACGGGAGGACAGTGCTACAGACAGTGCGACAGTGCTTTTACTCACCATTCCACTTTAAAGCAGTCTGTACTTTCCATGTGTATGTCTTTATTTGCCTGTATTGTTTGATTTTACTCCCAAAATACAAAGCTGTGAGTGTATCTTAGTTGTCTCCTCCATTATTACCAAGATTTGATAATAATGGACATGCCTTTATATACTATATAATTTCCTCTATAGTATCTTGAACAGAGGAGTTTAGGAACTTAAAACAGTTTAGTCTAATTTATGGAAAAGTCAGTAAATAATTTGTTGCTTGATATGATGCACTTTTTTTAGCATTTTTATGGATATCTGTTCTTGTAACTATAAACCTTGATTAGGGCTGTCTATAATATCTGCATAGCATGAGTAATTAGCCTTGAATTGTGAATGTAATTTTTTTAAAACTGACAGGAAGCCTTAGAACTACTCTCCTTCTGGCCACTACAATTACAAAACATTTCTTTTATAATTTGTAAAGATTTTTTACTCATTCATTTCATTATATTCTTGGGAACTCTGAGGTAAAAAGATAAATTCATTGTTACAGTTTAAAAATCATAAAACTAAGACCCAAAGAATTAAATTACTAATAATTGATAAAGCAGGTACTCTACTGCATAAGATTTTGAACTCCAAGAGTTATACATGTCATATATTATTTCTTTTAAATCACTAATTTATTCTCAGTGGACAGAATTTTCTTTCAGTAATTTATCTGTCCAGTTAGTGTTGACTGAATGCTCAGGTTATAATGCAGACTACATTTTCAGATGTATTGGGGAAAATAAGACTCCTATAGCATTTTGGTTTTATGTACAAGTGTGCACCCATCTTCAGAATTGCACATTTATTTATTATAACAATGATCACATTAAAATTGTCATTTTAAGTTGTCATTGTACATGTCTGTCTCCTCAACCAGATTGTGTGCTTCTTGGCCATCCTTTGATTATTCTCTGGGTTCCTTTATAACCTCATTGTCAAATATATACTCTCAAACATAGCTGCCTAGCTGGTTGAGTCAAGAAATGGATTGATAAGTGAATAAAAATGAAAACGTCATTATCCCCTCTGGGGGCCTACAATCTTCTTGGGGAGATAAAGTATGATGTTTATAATAAACAAAAATGAGTTAATAGACATTGTTTTATTTTATTTTGTTTTTAAGAGAAACTTTGTTTATAGGGTTTGTTTTTTTTTTTTAACTAATACAAAACAGATTCCCAGCCTGTAGTTCATGTAATTGCTTCCCGGCGTCAGGATTGGTCAGAGCATGAGATTGCAATGGAGACTAGCCCCACCATAATTTATCAGGATGTATCCAGTGAATCACAATCAGCTACTTCAACAATCAAAGCTCTATTAGAACTCCAGCAGACAACAGGTATGAATTCACATGCTCAGTTGAATGAAGCATGTTTTCTCTAGAGTTGGGTTGTGCAAGATACTACCACTGTTATTTTTCTTATCATTTGAATACTTTTCTCCTCTGGACTTGTCTATAATCATTGGTGTATTTTACTTAGTTACGAATTCATCAAGCTGTGTATAGGAATACTAAAGAATTGATAGAAAGGAGGAAAAAGTAAGAGCTCCTTCCCCTGTCTCTTATATAAAATGAACAGTCCTTTGTCACCAAAAAGGACTAAATCTGCTACTTTCAAGCAGAAGAATGATGCAGTAGTGTTGCCAGTTCCCTTGAAGAATCCTACTGGGAGTTTTGGGGTGATGGTTCAAAGGACTGAAGTTCATGCTCTGTATGACAGAGCTCCAGGTTTAATCCCTGGCCCTGTATTTTCCTCCAAGCTCTGTTGGGCATGACCCCCAAGCACTCCACTGGGAGTATCCCCCAACCACCTGTGGGTGTGGCCCCTGCCTCTTCCACCCAAAGAATACTTGGTGGCAGATTGAAGGGCCCCTGCCGTCCTCCTTAATGTTGGCAGGCTTGCTTTATAATCATAAAACACCATACTTATTTCTTGTTAGCGTTCTGGTTTATTTTAATTTTATTGTTTTATTTCTTGGTATAGTTTGACCATTTGCGTTTCCATGCAAAGCTGTTCTCATTTAACAAGACCCTTATCAATATTCATCTTCAATAAATGCTAAGCAAAACCTGTATGTTATATTGACTTTTCTATTATAATAGGTCAGAGATTTTCAGAGCTTTTAAAGGACCTTAGCAATAATCTCATCAAACTTTTTCATTTTGTGGATGAGTAAGAAAATCTAGAGAGGTTACCCAGTTAGTTAATTAGGGAGACTTTGTCTTTTGATTCTGTCAGTGTTCCTTTAACTTGTGGGGTGACTGTTTTTTGTTTTTGTTTTGCTTTCTTTGGTAAAATGTTATTGTAATTACATTTTATACTTGGTATGAATAATCTGAATGGACTTAAGTTTCATTGGACTTAATTATCATTTGTTGTAATATCCACTTTATCCCAGGAATACTAGCGCTTAATTCTTTAATTTTCTATTAGTATTACTTTTGGCCTTAAATATTTTCTCAGCTTCTTGTCTTTGACATACTTAGCCATTTCTCCTAATTACTGATAGAGTGTGTAGAAAATCTTCAGGTAGAAAGTAAACAGAAAGTCAGTCTACCAGCAGATGCCATTTTTGGTGCCATTTTTGGTTTTGGGGTGGTTATTGGTTTGGCTTTTGTGCCATACCTGGTGGCGTTCAGGTACTACTCCCCGCTCCGTGCCTTGGGGATTGCTCTCATTGGCTCTCAAGGGGAACCTGTTGCAAGGCATGTGCTCAGCCCCTTGAGCCATCTCCCTATCTCCCCAGAAACCATTCTTGATTCCTGATTATAATACGTTTTTATAGCTAAGAGGCCTTTTTCCCTAACACTGAACTTTAAAAAAAAAATTGAGACATTAGCACCTTTCTTTGGAGATTATCTTGTATTTTTAATAGCCTAGACTGGTCACTGTGCCCTATTTTGGGTAGATGTTGCTGTAGAGCAAATCATGCTGTGTGCATACTATATATTCCCCCTTTGTTTTCAGCTTGGTGAGCTCAAAAATACAGGAACAACCTTGAAGAAGGGTAAAAGAAAGCTCCTAAGGGAAATGTGGGGTACAAGGAAAAGAAGCAGTTGTTTGAAAATAGGGGCACATTTAGTCAGATTGCTAGGCAGCTGGGTACAGTTGTTCAAGTCAGACACCTCTCTGCCATACGTAGCAGTCTGCTTTGCGTTTCAGCTCACTTTCTCCTACTCAGTGCAAGAGGTGGCACACCAGAGGTCTGGTTCATACTCCCATGGACTGCCCTGGCTTTTGGTACTCATTTGTGATAAAAGTTAACTTTTCCCCTGACTTTTTTATACAGTAAAGGAAAAATTGGAATCTAAACCAAGACAACCCACTATTGACTTGAGTCAAATGGCAGTGCCTATTCAGATGACCCAGGAAAAGAGACATTCTCCTGAGAGTCCATCAATTGCTGTGGTAGAGTCAGAACTAGTTGCTGAGTACATCACTACTGGTAGGTGTCCTCTTAAAAAAAGTAGTATTACTGTAGGAGAGCTGCCTTTCTGGATTTCATAGGGTGGTTGCTTGGGGGAGAATATATTTTTATATTTCTTAATTGTTTCCAATTTGCTTTGTGAGCAAACGTATGTACATTGACCTTGAGATTAAAACCCTGTCTTTAGTGACATGGGGAGGGCTATCAATAGATTGTTGCAAAGTCTGCAAGTAGTTGAAAATTGTAATTTGGCCATAAACATCATCTGTAAAAACACGGAGGGTAACAGTGGTAGTGAAAGGATGAAATATATTTATACATTTTTTAAACAATATATAGCATCAGTAACAATAACATGACATTGGTGCACAGTTACCCCACCTTTACCACCACCAAAAAAGATCAAATATATTTTATCTAAGAATAAAACATTTTTAGGCATCTGAATTTTTTATTTTGGAGGAGAGAAAGTGGGTCAGGAAAAAAAGAAAATATAAAACAGCCCCCTTTTCATAAAAAGTGCTAAATCTCTAAATACATGGGACTTCAGATGAAAAATTTAATTAGTTTCTGTTTAAAATCTAAATGTGATCTGGCATAAAACACTAGTGAGATTTTTTGCATGGAGAGCAGGAAAGATAATATTCTATTTCTTATACTTTGTGTTCAGACTGTACCTTGATAATAAAGGACGCTTATTATTAGATAATAATGTCTGTTTTCGACACTTCATTATTTCAGGATTTGAAGTAGTTTTGAGAGTAGTAATATGAATCATTAGGGGTCAGGAGAGATAAGAGATAGTAAATAAAGGATGCTTATCTGAAGTTTTCTTAAGCAGCGATTAAAAGAAAACAAATTCCAGATATTTAAAGAATTAACTGCCAAACCAGAAAATAGAAGCTGAAGAAGTAATGTCGCAGTTAGGGAACATGTCTGGCATGTATGGAACCTTGGTTTGATCTCTGGCTCCCTGAACATCCGCTGAGCACCACCGGGTATGGATCTGGTGGCCTCTGAGCGTCTGAGGGGGTGACCATAGTTGTCCTCAGTACCCCAGGGCCTGAGCCCCACTAAATCTCCGGGGCCCTTCCACGGAATTGTCAGGCCCACCCAGTTGGCTGAGAATTGCTAGGAGTGGCTCCTGGATCTCCTGAGTAGCTCTTGGGAGCCACAAATAAACATCCTCACCCATGCAAAAAAAAAAAAATCTAAGAAATTCTTTGGTATCATCTGTTAGGAGAGAATCGTAATTAAGACTAATGTGTTTAAAATGCCTAAAAGGAAACATTCACTTCAAGTTACAGAAAGCTGTGTCTTTCTTTAGAGATACCTAGCAGAAAGCTCTAAGTAAAGCAGAAGGCAAATACTGGGAAAATATTGTGCTACGGTTGTAGCGTCTGGTGACAGATAGAGTATCATATGGTAAACAGATGACAAGACCTATGATTTCTTCCTTACTTATCCTTTTCAGAACGCACTGATGAGGGGACAGAGGTTGCTTTTCCCCTTCTAGGTAAGTGGTGTGCATCCATTTGTAATCTAACTCAGGTAAAAGATTATTGTTTGAGTGGGAGCCACTTAAACGGATGCGCTCTACTCTGATCTGGTAGAGGAAATGGTAAGCTCCATCCAGTGAAAGGGAGAGAGCCTTTTCTTTGAAAATAATGGAATTCTTTTTCAGCGATAAATAAGCAGTATGACATTGGGGGGGTTGTGAAAAGTGGGGGCTGGGAACAGTTCTTGAAGTAGATTAAGTGGCTGGTTTTGGTGTGTATGTGGCCTGATTAAGGTCACTTCAGCTATTTTCTGAGTGTTTACTTTGTGACCTCCATAATCTCCCATCATATCCTTTGCCTTGTTGAACATTTTTGTTTGCTTTTTGTTCTTTTTTTACTTCTAAGTCCGCTTCCTGACCCTGGCATGTTCTATTATCCTGCAGTGCATATTAGTGCTCCCTACCTTTCCTGCTTCCTGGGGAATTACTATAACAATATTTATGTGTTTTAAATAAGGATTATTTTTAAATGATTTTAGTTGATCTTTTGTTAAATCCTGTTTTGTTTTGTTTTGGTTTTTTGACCCCACCTGGTAGTGCTCAGTGTTTACTCCTAGCTCTGTGCTCAGGGATCACTCTTTGGCGGTGTTTGGGGTATCATATTGGGTACTGGGAATTGAATTCAGGTTGGCTGCGTGCAGGACAGTATTGTCATGTCACTCCAGCCCTTACTAAAAATATTTTAATGTAATAATTATGAAGGTCAGTATGGGCAGCATAAAATGTTTTATGGTTTGATAGCTTCATCAGAAATTTTTTTTTCTTTTTTTTTTTCTTGGGTCACACCCGGTGATGCACAGGGGTTACTCCTGGCTCTGTACTCAGGAATTACCCCTGTCGGTATTCAGGGGATCATATGGGATTCTGGGAATGGAACCTGGGTCGGCCACATACAAGGCAAACACCCTACCCGCTGTGCTATTGCTCCAGCCCCAGAAATTATTTTTAATACCATTTCTGATGTATCTATCAATAAAAACTTCACTAATCTGTTAAATTAGTTCTAGTATTAGTAGGAATTACTTTTGTTTTCTCCTACTCAGACATACTGATTTTTAGCCTTTTTTGTTTTAATAATAAACCCTGATTCCTTTTATTTCTTTTTTTTTAGTTCCTTGAACATATCTGGAAAATTTTAATCAATCATAACTTATATAAATAAAGCATACTATGAAATTCATTAAGATACCATAACACATTTATAAAAATATTGCTGGATGACACTGCCTATAATCTCATAAAACATGTAGGTAAATGAATAGCAATAATAGAAAAGTGTATTTAACAGATAGAATGTGTAGATGACTTATATGTTACTAGCCAGAGTTAAAATTCTATACTTAAGGTACAGAAGTGGCACTTTCACATTGATTTCTCTAGTGATCGTTTTACCCATGGGCCTCCCACAATGATTCATCTAAGTGTGGGATCACTACTATTTGAAATTGTACGTCAAGCTGTACAAACATTAGAAACTCGGATATTGAGAAAGTTTTGGAATTCTCAAAATCTGTAATATTACACATTTTTTTGGTACTCTGTGTGTTACTGATTTTACAAGTTGCTTTTCCAGTAAGCATCAGCATTTTTGAAACTCTGTAGAATGTGGGGTAAATGGTTATGCTGTTTACAAGTTTAAAATTTAGGTGGGTAAGAGATGTGTCTTTGTAGATGGTTTTATTTAGATACACATAAAGGTAACTATAAATGTGTAATTTACCCCATGGGATCTTTGTAGTAAGAGTAAATTATTGGTTGTTTCCCCATGCTATACTCTCATCCTTTTGTGTCAGATAAGCTAAATTTGAGAGGATGAACGCATTTTATTTTGTTGATTTATATTTTAGTGCTTAGCAAAGGATCATTTTTGACCTATTACTTTATCCAATCCTTTCTCGGTAGAAAGAAATTTTTATAAAATTTTTTAAAACCACCAAGCATCCAAGAATATCTAGGTTTTAATGGTTAACTGCCATCTTCAAATTCACAAAGCTGGTGGCTGACACGGTGGGAGAGTCCGGCGTGACCTTCGACCCAGGTCTCTTTTTCTGAAGTTACCATCTTTTTGCAGGGTGGGGGGCACGGCCCGCAGTGCTGGAGCCTGCTTTCCCAGCTCTCTGTTTGGGAGTTGCTCTGAGCATTTCGTGAGGATGGTTCAGTACATGCCCTCAGCCTGTTGAATTCAACAGCGCTCTCTCCACTGTTCCCTCTGCAGTATCCTCTGGGTCTGTCCTATCTCTAGGAACTGTTAAACTGTGAGATAATAGTCCCTTTTTATATAAACAAGTGAATGCTTCTGGGGATTATTTTGCATATGGAGCTGGGTTCAAGAGGGAAAGAACTTACTGTGCTGGAAGGCATTATCTGGAATTTGATTATGGAAACCTGATGTTTATTTTGTGACTTTTTGGGGGTCAGGATGGTTGGAGAAAGTATAGTTCATAGGAGGATATAACTTTAAGGAATTTGTTCCTCATTTTTGATTTCTTTACAATGCTTCCCTGTGTAATTCTCACTTTATCCTTCAGATCACGGTTATTCCCATTTTACAGAGGAAGCAGAATCTCAGCTGTAACCAGTTTTCTCAGAGTCCTAGATCATAGGTCTAGATGAGCCGACTCTGACCGCTCGCCTCTAAGTTCACAGCCCCACACTTGGTCTCTGTGATCCAGTCGGACAGACCTTTGTGTACAGTGACTGCTGGTCACAGATGCTCTAGTGACTTCTGGAGAAATCTTACCACCTCCTCTATTTTCAGTCAGCCATCGCTCCCAGCCCCAACAGCCCTCGCAGCCCCAGCGGACCCTTCTCCAACATGTGGCTCAGTCACAAACTGCAACACAGACATCAGTGGTGGTGAAGTCTATACCAGCATCTTCCTCTGGAGCAATCACCCATATTATGCAACAGGTTATATCTCCTTTTTCTTTTTAATTTCTTCTACTGCCTCTTTTTGGAATAAGGTTTAGCTTATTCCTATTAGAAAAGTGGAAATAATCAAATTAAAGGGTGTTTGAATAGTTCTTAAAGGGTGTTTGTATAGTTCTTTCATCTATAGGGAGCAAGTTTGTAGGACATGAAATTCATCTTAGCAGAGGAAATGATTAAGAAATACCATTCTTCATTATTCCATGAATTCTTGCTATTTCAGAAGGATAGGATTTATCTAGATGAAAAAGAAGAGGATTTATCTAGATGAATCAGTGACATCAGATTTGTTTACTATTTTTTGTGTTTTACTATGGGAGAATTTATCTCTAAGGTAAAAATTTTAAATGAAATAGAAGTTGTTTTGTCTATTTTTTGAAGTTGGTTTTGGGATTTTTATTTTTGGTTTGTTTTTAAAATACTCCTGGGAACATTATGAATAAGTAAATATTTGAATTATTTTACTGTACGTCACCAGTTAAGTAATGGGGAAAAGAAAAAGTCAAGTTGATTTTTTTTCTTTTTTGTGAGATACTGTGTTATGAGTTAATACATTAACTTATTTAGTTTTCACAATTGGGCGTATTATCGCTCTTAAAGATGAGGAAACTCATTCTTTCAGATAGCATTCTTTCTTTCTAGATAGCAAAACCAGGATTTAAACCCAGAGCATCCTGCCTCTGTTATAAAATAATCACTGTCACTGCCCTCCTGTTGTTCGTCTTCCATTTTGAGACTTGTTTCTGTGTTTGGCATATTGAATACGCCACGGGTAGCTTGCCAGGCTTTGCCTTACGGGCAGAATATTCTCGGTAGCTTGCCAGGCTCTCTGAGGGGGCGGAGGAATAGAACCCGGGTCAGCTTCATGCAAGGCAAACATCCTACCGGCTGTGCTGTCACTCCAGCCCAATATCACTATCACTGTCCTCCTGTTGTTCATTGATTTGCTCGAGCGGGCCCAGTAATGTCTCCATTGTGAGACTTGTTGTTTCTGTGTTTGGCATATTGAATATGCCACGGGTAGTTTGCCAGGCTCTGCTGTGTGGGCGAGATACTCTCGGTAGCTTACCGGGCTCTCCGAGAGGGGAGGAAGAATCGAACTCGGGTCGGCCATGTTGGCTGCATGCAAGGCAAATGCCCTACCTGCTGTGCTATCACTCCAGCCCACGGCCCAGTAGAAAGTAATATAAAATAAAAAATAATGTTATAAAATGATGGGCTGGAGCAATAGCACAGTGGTAGGGCGTTTGCCTTGCACGCAGCCAACATGGCTGACCCGAGTTCGATTCCTCCGCCCCTCTCGGAGAGCCTGGTAAGCTACCGAGAGTATCTCGCCCACACAGCAGAGCCTGGCAAGCTACCCAGGACGTATTCGATATGCCAAACACAGTAACAACAAAGTCTCCAATGGAGACGTTACTGGGCCCGCTCGAGCAAATCGATGAACAATGGGAGAACAGTGACTAGTTATAAAATGATAACATTCAACATTACTTAATAGTCACGTAAATCACCAACCACTCAACTTGTAGCAGGTCATCCCAATTTCAGAGAAATTACTTGAAAGACAATAGAAAAAAATTTTAATAAAGAACTTGGGTGTGTGAAGTCTTATTATATGACAGAGGAAGGTTTCGTTGAATCTCAGAGATTTCAAAGTTTAGAGGTGTAGTATATGTCAAGGCAGTGAAAAGGGTGGTAGATACTGTGTCACTGAGAGGGGGCAGGGCCGGGGGGGAGTCAAGTGACCAGAAATTATGCTGGTTATCAGATTGGAATCTGCCTGACATTGATTTCTCAAGACACGTAGAGGAGATCATATAAATTGGCCCCAATTATGTCACCCAAGACCATTGCCTCGTCGAAACACTTAAGTAACCCCCTCTGGTGACTTCCTTCCATCCACAGGAGTGCTCTGGTCCCATCCCAGGTCTCTTGCCTTCCTGGCAGGTGGGTTTCTGGGAAGCTATTGCCTTGGGTGTGGAATCCGACCTGCCACTTGAAGCAGAGTCCCCTTTGCAGGGATTGGGATGGGCATGGTCTTAACACACAGGCTTCTTCTAGACTGGTGAGGTTACCACCTCTCAGGGGAGCACTGTAGCTGTCCATGGGGGCAGTAGAAGCCTTGTGTGCAATTAGGAGGTTGCTTCCTGTCTGTTGACTTAAAAGAAGAAAGATTTCCAGGGGTGACAATGAATATTTTCTGAAAAGTGGATGGTAAGCCAAGTAAGTTTGAGAGCCTATTTTTCTAGGCAGTGTTGGCCATGTACATGACTAAAGTGGGCTTTCTTTTCTCTGCATGTTATTCCTTGGTTCCTGTATTCTTTCTGTGGGTGGCTTAGCATCTCTGGTGATCCATACTGGGAAGTGTTTCCTGAGCCAGGGAGCCTTTTCTTCTTTATTTCACTAGGCTGTAATTATAGGACAATCTTAATATTTTTTAACTGAAAGTTCTAGGTTGTTTAGAACTTTTCATATAGAAGTATACTGACAGTTTTGAGAACTCTTAATGTTTGAGAGTTAAATTTTGTATATTTTTTAAAGTCTTTATTGTTTTGGGGGTATAACACTCATCAGTGCTCAGGGCTTACTGCTGTCAGGGCACAGGGGACTAAATGGGGTACTAGAATAAAACCCAGGTCAGCCACATGCACATCCAGTGTACTACCTGCTCTACTACCCTTCTAGCTCCCAAAAGTTTAAATTATTTTGAGAACCTTTTGTTGTTGTGTTTGGACTGACTCCTGGCTCTGTGCTCATGGATTGATCACTCCTGGCAGGATTCTGGGGACCGTATGGGATCAAATCCAGACTGGCTGCATGCAAGATAAGCAAGCACCCTGCCCACTGTACTATTTCTTCAGCCCTATTTGGAGAACTTTATTTTAATGCTCCCTTTAGGTTTGGAAATCTTGGGACCTGTTTGCCCTTTTAGACTCTTCAGAAAATGATGAAATGAATTTCATTATTAAGTCTTTCCAATTTGAGGTAATTAGAGCAAGTTAGGTGTTATTCGTACTTCATGCTTACTTTGTGCCTTTTTCACTCAGGCATTAAGCAGTCACACTGCTTTTACCAAACACAGCGAGGAACTTGGAACTGAGGAGGGCGAGGTTGAAGAGATGGACACTTTAGACCCTCAGACAGGTCTGTTTTACCGATCTGCCCTGACCCAGTCAGCTAAGCAGCAGAAACTTAGCCAGCCTCAGCTGGAACAGACTCAGCTGCAAGTGAAAACTCTGCAGTGCTTCCAGACTAAACAGAAGCAGACCATCCACCTGCAGGCAGACCAGCTCCAGCACAAACTCCCGCAAATGCCCCAGCTTTCCATCAGGCATCAAAAACTCACCCCTCTCCAGCAAGAACAAGCACAGTCCAAGTCAGATGTACAGCACACACAGCATCCCATGGTGGCCACAGACAGGCAGCTTCCTACCTTAATGGCACAGCCCCCGCAAACTGTAGTACAGGTGCTCGCAGTGAAAACCACGCAGCAGCTCCCCAAACTGCAACAGGCTCCGAACCAACCAAAAATCTACGTGCAGCCCCAAACCCCCCAGAGCCAAATGCCGCTCTCAGCCTCGTCAGAGAAACAGCCGGCAAGCCAGGTAATGAAATACTGATAGCATGCAAAGTTACACTTCCCTGTTTATGGAGAAAATGAGAACATCACAACTGTATCGTGATGAGTAGTGCTTTCTCCTGGCAAGAGGAAACCAAAAGCCTCATTACACTGGTGTTACTTGCAACCCCCATCAGAAGGTTGGCATTAGGAAAGAAATGTATGCTTCAATATTGGGAGATTTTCTAGGCAGTTTTTATTTTATTCTTATTTTTAATTTTTTTTTAATTAAGTCACTGTGAGATACAGTTACAAAGCTTTCATGTTTGAGTTTTCAGCCATACAGTGATCCAACATCCATCCCTCTACCAGTGTACATTTTCCACCACCAGTGTCCCCAGTATTCCTCACCCACCCTCCAGAGCCCACCCCGCCCCCTGCTTCTATGGCAGATAATTTCCCCCTTACTCTCTACTTTTGGGCATTATGGTTTGCAGTACAGACACTGAGAGGCCATCATGTTTGGTCCTTTCAGCACACATCTCCCATCCTGAGCAATCCCTCCAACCATCATTGACTTAGTGATCCTGTCTCTATTTCTGTGACAGTAGGATATCCTAAGTAAACTACAATCTTTTAAGGAGCTTCATTAAATATCTTCCCTTATAGTTTCTATCTTCACACAGAGAATACATTTATCTTCTAGATTTATTTTCTAGACTGCAAAGGAATTTTCTGTGGATATTCAAAAGAAAATTATACTAGGGAACCCAGTATGTTGGAGTGATATATATGTACAGGTGTATATTCTAAATACATATAGACTATGTATATGTTTGTACAAATGTCTTTTGATGCAAGAGATTGAAAAAAATTCTATCTTTTAAAAAGCTTGAGATTATGTGAAATAACTTGAGAGGGGTTGAAGGTAGTGTATTGTGTGGGGATATATATTACCAAAGGAAAACAAGACTGCTGTGAGTTTTTTATTCTTCTGTGAATCATGGCTGACTGAACAAAGGTTCTTTCAGCTTTTCCTTTTTACCTACATTTTTTTTTAAGAAACCATATATATTCAACCTTATTAGAAAGCGATCTGTAAAATGTCTTATAAACTGCACAAACGTTTCTTTTGCCATATTGTCTGGATTATTTGATAGGTTTTCTCAAAGAGATGTAGCTGTAACACACATAATCCCAATTTATTTTCAGGTGGAGCAGCCAATTATAACCCAAGGATCCTCTGTTACAAAGATAACTTTTGAGGGGCGTCAGCCTCCCACAGTTACAAAGATAACTGGTGGCAGTTCTGTGCCTAAGCTGACATCACCAGTTACAAGCATATCTCCCATTCAGGCCTCGGAGAAGACAGCTGTATCAGACATTTTGAAAATGTCTTTGATGGAAGCTCAGATTGACACAAATGTAGAGCATATGGTAGTGGACCCCCCAAAGAAGGCTCTTGCCGCTGGTATGCTCACTGGTGAAACAGGATCATTACCTTCTACCCACGTGGTGGTAACAGGGATGACGAATTCAACTTCCCAGCAACAGAAATGTAGAGAGTCCTGTTCAAGTCCATCTGCTGTTGGTCCTTCCCTAACGACAAGGAAAATCGATGTACCAGGAGTGCCTACATCAGGCCAGTTCATGCGTATTCAGAATATAGGCCAAAAGAAAGCTGAAGAGAGCCCAGCAGAAATTATCATCCAGGTAAGAATTTGGAAGGAATATGAGAAATTTTGGGCATTTGAGGTTGGTTGTGGGTTTGGTGTGTGTTTGTGTATCACGAAAAGAGTCAAATCATCATAGCCAAAAGACACCATCTCTGAGATGTCATTTGGCAAGTTTGATGTCATCTCTATTACAAATATGCAAATTTATATTTGTTTCCTAGAAGAGCATTCTGGAGAATTAGTGACTGATGTTATATAGCACATGTTAGAGGATGATACCATCAGCCCCAAGTCCATATGTCAGCTTTATTTGTAGATGCAAACCATACTTGCCCATGTTAATTGAGCAGATACACTCAAAGAATCAGCAGCTTCCTGGTGTGAAGGTTTAGGTTCTCCAATCTTGGTTCATAAACTCCTAAAATATAATTTTCATCTGCCAGTTCACAAACAGGTGTGAATCTGCAGGTATAAAGAGGTTAAAACCTGGTGGTCTGGATTTTTTTTTTGGGGGGGGGTCTGGATTCTTAACATAAATTTAGTATAATGTCACCTGGAAGTTCATGTGGTAAAACTTTTCCATTCCCATGCTGCCAAGCATGAGAGAACACACATTGACCACTATTAATCCAAATAGTTTTGGGAAATGCTTAAAGGCAGGTAGAAATGACCATTAAATTATTCAGATAATGTTTTTACTCATAAAATCAAATATTTAATGTATTCAATAATCTTCGACAGGGTATTTTCTTTGTTTTGGTTTTTTTGGGGGGAAGGGTTGGTTTTTCTACTGGAAGTAGTAGCAATATAGTTATAATAGGTGTTAATCTACTGGTATTTTGTTGTTGTTGTTGTTAAAATATTATTGGGCCCGAGCGATAGTACAACCTGTAAGGTGCTTGCCTTGTATGTGGCTTATCTGGTTTCAATCCTGGCATCCAATACGGTCACCACTAGGAGTAATTCCTGAGTGCAGAGCCAGGAGTAACCCCTGAGCATTGCTGGGCGTGGCCCCCTGCCAAAAAGAGATAGTCCATTACTCTCATGTTCATAGGTTGCTGCTGTGAGATCCAACAAGTAACATTTTTTGAACTACCGAAGGGTTGCCAAAGGGCTCAATCACATTATGGTTTCAGCAAATTAGTCATTCATCTTGCAGATAAAAATGAGTGAAATTTGACATTTACCTTTGAATGTGCTCAATGATAAAATGTCCTTCAAAGTCTGCTGCTTGAATCAAATATAGACTTCATTTGCCTTCATTAAAACTCCATTTGAGTTGCACATGACTTGCATTTTACTCCAGACATTAACTGACAAGGTAGCTCTAAGTCATTTACCCTCTTGATTTCCTTATCTGTAAAATGGGATGATACGTACCTCAGTGCCTCGTTAGAGGGATTTTCCAGCTGTTACATGAAGTCACCATACCCAGTGCCCAGTGTCTAATAGCTGTTCAGTAAGTGTTTCTTGCTTCTGTGATTTTGTTGGCTGTGACCCTGTGTCGCCTTTTCTTCCTGTAAACTCTCTCCTGCATTTTCTCCTTCAGGCCATTCCCCAGTATGCTATTCCCTGTCATGCCAGCTCCAACGTGGTCGTCGAGCCCAGTGGGCTCCTCGAGCTGAACAACTTCACCAGCCAGCAGTTGGATGACGATGAGACGGCCATGGAGCAGGACATAGACAGTAGCACAGAGGATGGAACTGAGCCCAGCCCCTCTCAGAGTTCTGCTGAACGGTCCTAGTGTTTGGGGCACGCAGGAGTGCACTTTAAAACCGACTTGGTTACCAAGTGTCCAGGGGAGCCCTTGTTTTTTGGTATCTCTAGAGAGCACTTTGCCCATGCTTATGTTGTGGACCCCGAAACAGCAGTGTTTCAACAATTGCTGCAGGAGCAGCATTTTAAAATTAGATAAAACTCACAGGGGAATGTACTTCTTTTATATATAAAAAAGAAAAAATGGAAAAAAAAAACCAAAACAGAGAGATGCACATCTGTAGTGACATGTAAGACCTGAAATTCTTTCTCGGACCATGGCCAACGGAAAAGTTTGTCTTGCAGTGGAAAGGGACTTTTCCTGTGAATGTTCCTCATCTGGTTTCTACTAAGCAAAGCACCATCCAGAAGGAGAATGTGAATGGTTTGTGTTTTGAAATGGTGTGTCAGGAACTGTTTTGTTTTGTTTTGTTTTGTTTTGTTTTAATTGTATATGTTTTTGCAGATTCTTGGAAGTGTTGAGTTGGATAGCATTTTACATTTAACATTTGCTCAAGTCATAGTTTATGAAAATAACTAGAATAATACTGGCATTAAAGAATCCTTGTTGGATAGTGGAAATCAGACCCCTAATCAGTGGGAAGTGCTTTTTGGGTGGTTTGTACATTCTCACCAATTATATGCTAATTTATTGTGTTGTCCTCCCTTTTGTGCTTATGGCAGCATATTTGCCTTCTATTTATTTAAATGTAAACCTTTCAAACCGGCCATATTCCTTATAACAGACTTCCTTAAACCAGAATTTCCTCCCCTACCCACCTCCTTTCATCTCCCTCTCCTTTAAGATAACTTATTAAAAAAAGTTTCCTTGTGAAGTAAAGAAGAAACATTTTCTCATCCAGAGGAAAAGTTTCAGTTATGTTCAGGAAAACAAACTATACATATAATGCTATCTCAACATTAAAATTGCACATACACATTGGACTGAGGCTTTTAAATAAGGCTTTCCATGCTTTTGTTTAACCACCCTTTGAAATATATATATATATAAAGTTCATTTACAATTCTAAATGTTTTTAAGCAATCTACCGTAAGACACAGTTTGTTTAAGCAATATGTTTGGATCTTGTGATCATTGTCTCTCACAAGCAGTAAGGTAAGAGGGTGGGAGGGTCAGAGTCAGTTTCGACAGGTTGTGGCAAAGGAAACTATACTTCTCATTTTTTAAAAATGTAAATATAAAGGTTTTTAACGGTTTTATATAGATTTCATTATAAATAAGCATTTTAAGACTGACAAATGTTGAACTGTAGATACATATATCAGCATAACTGCCCAATTTTTTGGTGCTGAAGTACTGTAAGTAGAATTCATCCACAGCCTCCTAATTTTTGCATCTATATCTGGAAAAAAACTGTGATATTATAGTTAATAAACTCCCACTAGAGTGACACTGAAGATTTAAACACAAGCATTGATCTAGTAGGTAATAATGACTTACCCATAGATGGAGCTGTTGGATATTATTTTATTGTACAAATTCATGTTTAAAAGACTTTGTGACTCTGTTTCTAGTTAACTAATTTTTTAATCTCGGGTCATAAACTTCTTTCAACATCGGATTGCATTATGAATTCTCACCAAAAAGATACACTTGCGAATATGCATCTTAGATACCATTGATACCAATTAGGGGCCAAGAACCCTTAAGCCAGTCCATGTATCCCAGGTTAAGCCCTCTGTTATGGTCAATCCATTACTTACAAATGTAAGTTTTTATAAAATAAAATATCTTTTAAATATTTGTGGATCAGGTCACATGAGCGAACTTGAATAAAGTTACTATGTTTTATTTCTACCTATTCTAGCAGCATGGCATACCTGTGTTCCTTTGAGAATCAAACCTTAACATTTCAGCAGTTGGAATAGCAAATAAGACTTCTATAGTCTACATTTAAAAATCAACATTTAAAAATGCGTTAGATGAGAGTTAATTTCAGGCGGAGGGGGAGGATTTGGGACCACACCAAAAGTGGTCAGGGGCTTACTCCTGGCTGTGCATTTGAAAAATACAAGGCAAATTCTATGAAATTACTAGAATTCCAACAATCAGTCACACACATACACACCTTGGGTTTAAAGTAATTGTGATAGATGCTTTGTATTATAGATGTTGTTTTGTTTTTTGGGGGGTAGGAGGGTTGGATGGTTGGACCACATTCAGTGGTGCTCTGGTAATTCTTGATGGTACCTCTGTAATGCTGGGAATTAAAACCAAGACAGCCGCATGCAAGACAGGCGCCTTACTGTACTGTCTCTCAAGTCCTAATGGTTTTTTCCTTAGTGATATTAGTTTCAAAGAGAACATAAACTGTTTGATTTATTCAACAAATACTAGTTAAGCATTTTTATATCTGATTACATTATGAATTTTCACCAAAAAGATATAATTGCCAATATGCATCTTAGATACCATTGATATCATCTTAAGGACCATGAACCTCTAAATCTGTCCGTTTATTCCAGTTAAGTCCTCTGTTACGGTCAATCCATTATTTACAAATGTAAGCGTTTTTTTTTTTTTTTAATTAAAAAATTTTCCCCTTACACTTCATATAAACACTGTAGTTTACAAAGTTGTTCATGATAATTTGTTACAGGCATTAAATATTCCAACACCAATCCCACCACCACAAATACAGTTTTTATAAAATAAAATATTTTTAAATATTTGTGGGACACTTCACAAGAGCAGGTTTTATTCTGAACACCCAGGACACCGTTGTGAATAAAAAAAAAGTATTTTAAAATTCTACCCTTAACAGTTTACAGCAGGGTTTCCTATTGATGAAATAAATGTGAGGGCTGAAAAAAGGACTGAAAACAAGAATGGCATTTCTCTAAGTGGATGGATGATGTTGCCATGTATAGATCTCCAGCATTCAGGAAGTGAAATCTTGGCGTTAGATCTACTCATACATACTTCATGTATTTGAGTCTATAAATTAAATATAATTTTAAGTCATGCCAGGCATAGACATTTAGAAAGTGCAAGGCAAATGCTACAAAATCATTAGAATTCTAACAGTGATTCTCCCCCGCCCTCCCCCCCCAAAACCCTCTGGTTTAATTTTGATAGCTGCTTTGTACTATAGATTGTCTTTTGGGGAGGTGTCAGGGTGGTGCGGGGCGGGGGCATTACTGGCATGGTTGGACCCCACCCAGTGGTGCTCAGGCGATTCTTGGCTCTATGCTCAGGAGGATCACCTTGCAGTCTCAGGGGACTATGTGGTGTCAGGGACTTGAACCAGGGTCTCAGCTGTTACAGATACATGCAAGGCAAGTGTCTTTCCTCCTGTACCATCTAAATGATATAAATAAATATAAACAATAAGTATCTCTGCACAGGTGTGTTTTATGTGAATTCTGAGAATTTAAAAATATTAACAGCTCTTCGAGGTTAATTTATTTGCCGTACAATTCACCTCTACAAAGCATTCAGTTTGGTGATTTTTCATTTCTGTATAGAGTTGGGCAACTTGATCACTTGACATCTCGTTACTCATTGATTTGCTGGAGCGGGTGCCAGTTACGTCTCCATTCATCACTGTTGCGTGCTAGTGTAGCCCAATGGCGTCTGCTCGTTCTAGGAACACGAAGAGCCTCAAACTGATCACTCAGGGTCTTGACGAAGTCTGACCATCTCGTAGGTGGGCAGCCATACAATCTTTTGACGTCCTGTGGAATCTAGTTGGTAATGGCTCTAGTCCAGCGGTCATCTTCAAATCTGATTACGTGTCCAACCCATATGGTTTTCGACGCCTTGGCAAATGAGACAGCGTCCCTGATTCTTGATCCTCAACAGAGGTCAGAACTCCAGATTCTTTCATTTGAGTGACACATGATACTCCAAGCATAGCTCTTTCGATTTCTTTTTTGGGTGACCTGAATAGCGTTCTCATCCTGTTTTCGTAGGGCCCAGGTCTCTGAGGCGTATGTTAATGCAGGAAGAACAGTGGAATTGAGAAGATGCACCCGGAGCCAGAGGTTCTTTGTCCTCTTAGCGATTTCTTCGATGCTCTTGAAGGCGTTCCAAGCCGCTTTCTTCCTTCTTCACAACTCAGGTGCCAGGTCGTTTGTCATGTTGACTTCTTGACCTGGGTACACATAACTGTTGCATTTGGATATGTTCATTCCGTTGAGAGTGAATGGAACATCAGGAACGAGACTGTTTCTCATAAACATGGTCTTCGTCAGATTCAGCTGTATTCCAACCTTTCCACACTCACGAAGTCGGCCAGCATTTGTGTCACTTGGCTAATGTTTGGTGTTATGAGAATGATGTCATCAGATGTCATGAGCAAAGCAGAGGTGGTATAGTTGCTGACCATCTGTCTTCACTCCCATTCCTTCCCATTCCAGTTGTCTCATGACATTCTCGAGGGTGGCATCGTAGAGTTTCAGTAAAATGGTATCACCCTGCCAAACCCCTCTTGACATGGATGATCACTTCCTTGTAGAATGGTGAGATCCTGGTAGTGAACCTGTACTACAGCTCTCAGAGGACCCTGATGTATTGAGTTTGAACACCCTGTTTGTCTAGGGCTTTGATGACCGCTTCCATCTCAACAGAATCAAAGACCTTTAAATTAATAAACGTTAGACAGAGCGGCATCTTGAACTCCCGAGAAACCTCATTGAGCTTGGTTATCGTGTGGATATGGTCAATCAGTCCTTTTTGGAACCCGGCTTGCTCGCCTGGTTGTCCTTCATCTAGTGTTCTGCCAGTCCTGTTCAGGATGATTCAAGTGAACAGCTTGTAGACGACAGACAACAGGCAGATCAGGCGATAGTTGCCAATGTTGTGAATGTCTCCCTTCTTGTACAATTGTACAGTCCTGCTGGTTTTCCATTGGGACGGAACCTTGCATTCAGACAGGTAGCGTGTGAAGAGCCGAGCCAGTGTATTGATGAATACCGATGGCAGATTCTTCAAGTGTTTGGGTCTGACCTTGTCTGGGCTAGATGCTATTCGCTTCTTTACGAACAAAATGGCATGTCGGATTTCGGAAGGGAGAACTTTGGGAATGTCATATCCATCCTGCGGAATTTGGTATGTGGGCAGGTGGACGTGGCTATCGGAGAGATCCGAGTAGAAGTCATGGATATCTCCATTGCCCTTCTGGAAGATGTGATAGATCCATCAGGACGTCGGAGGGCAGTCATCTTGGTCTTGTAGTTGGCAAAGGACAGGCGGGCGTACAGAGTTGAGCAACTTTTCAATACAATTTTAAGAACCTTTGCATAACTCCCAAATGAAGCCATTTACCATTTCACTCTCAGTCTGAATCCATCAGTAACCCCACCTCAACCTTACGGAACTACTTTTTCTCTGTGTGTTGGACCGTTTTGCACATTTCATATAAGTGGGGTTAGATAGTGCAGTCTTTAGTGCAGAGTGCTTTGTAATATTCTGATTACCACTTTTTGCCTCATGAATACTGCTGGTATGGTTTCTGTTGTTGTTTTGTTGTTGTTGTTTTCATTTCACTTGCATATATAACCTAAGTGTTCAATTGACAGATCAAAGGTAACTGGATTTAACCTTTTGAGAACCTGCCAAGTTGTGTTACATAGTGACTGCATGTTTTATTTGCTCACCAATAGTTTTGAAGAGTTCCAGTTTCTCTGCATACTTGCCAGCTCTTGCGTTTATCTTTTTAATCTTTTTAGTTACAACTATCCCAATGTGTGAAGTGGTACTGATTTAATGTGCTTCTGATTTACCTTTGACTGATGACAAACTTTTTTTTTCAGCATATTTATTGACTGTCTTTTGGAGAAACTGTTGAGGCCTTTTGTACATTTAAAGTTAAAGTACTTCCTTTTCTTTTTTTTTTTTTTCAATTGAGAACCTTTGAAGCACAGGGCATACTAATACTGTTCAGAGAAAAGTAATCTGTAATCTGGTAATACATCACCCTTAAGCCCTTCAACCTGCTCTAGTTCTTACTCTCCAAACTAACAGCTCACTTAGCATTCTTAAACTGTATAGTGATTTATGGATGAAAGTGCTCTGAAGACCTGATGAATGGTGCTTATTTAAAAAAAAATGCTGGGTGCTGGAAAGATTATACAGCAGGTAGAGCGATTACCTTGCACATGACCACCTCACTTCAATCCCCAGCATCCATTTGGTCCCCTGAGCTCCGCCAGGAGTGATTCCCCAGCACTGCCAGTGTGACCCAAAAGCAAAACAATAGGCACAGAGTTTGGTACTTTATTATTTCATTCTAGTATTTGTTCTACTCCACCTTGTACCTCCTATATAATAGAGAACTTTATTAAAGGAGACATTCAGGGAGAATCTTAGAAATTTGTGTGATCGTTTATATCTCTGAATTGCTACCTCCCCCCGATTATGTCGTTTTTGTGTATAGAACATGTAATTTTTCTCTAACCAAAAAGACACCTTTGCAGCTCAGGAATAGTTTCTAGTATTCCTAACTGATAAAGGAAATAATCCCTTGATTGAGTGAGCTGTCTTTGTGGCGGACAATGCAAGAAGCAAAAGTTACTTGATTCTCATTTTATAAAGGATGCCTTTTATGTGAGGACATAGTCCCTCAGTCCAAGTGCTCATGCTCTTTCCAGCAGCCAGTAAGCAGAACAGACACTGCAGGGCTTCTCACAGCCAACAAAGCCACAGTCTTGCAACTTCAACCTCTGAGCTGGCCCTGTCAAGGAGGATACATTTCCAGCAGAGTAAACTATATCCCTGTACATCTGTGGTTGGGTAACTGTATAAATGTGTAGGTGTGGATAGGAAAAAACTGTATATAAGTGTGTCTCTGCAATTCGAACCTG